TTGTGTGTTGATTCACTGATTTCATTTAGTCAAGAGTCTGGGAGAGCTTTTTAGGAAACAAGAGACAGGAAACAAGTCATTACCAGCAGCTCCTGTCAGAGGTTATTGTTGGTTATTTGTCATCTTGGTGGTGTGAGGTTTCTGTCAGCTGGCAGGAAGGGCCTGGGCTTGCCTTGCCCTACAGTCCTCTGGAAGTTGTGCCTGGCTGGATGGCCCTGGTGGCTTGGTGGTCAGTGGCAGCTCTGTTTGGGTTCAGCTCAGGGTTGGCAGTGTGGATGATATGTACTAGAGACTGTCCCCTTGCAGGGCTGGAGAGGGGGGCCCTGATCACGTTAGGACCTCTAACTAGCATGTGACAGTACAGAAAAGCATCTTAGGGTTTCTCTTCCATTGTTTTGGAGGTTGCTGTTGCATTTCACTTCTCTTAACGGAGATGTTTCGGGCTCTGTGCTGTGTATTCAGGGAAATCTGACATGATCACAATTGCTTTTACATGTGGTGCCAAGGCAGAGCAAGGCAGTAATAATTTCCACCTGTTTTTTTTGTTCCTTCCTTTAACCATATCTGTTGCTATCAGATGTGAGTGGGCTCAGGAGCTGCATGAGGCATCAAAATGCAGGAGGCAGGCTGGCCCAGCTGCTGATACAGCTACACACAAAGCAGGGGAAGCTTCAGCTCATGAAGTCTTGCGTTGGGGTTGGTTTTCCTTAATTTTTTCCATATGGAAATGAATATTCAATATAAAGTAAAATGCTTATTTTGGGGGGAAGTCTTATGGGAATTGTTCCATAACATTTTGGAGGGTTGTAGGTTTTTTGCCTTTTAAATAACCTTAATTAGGTAAAACTGGACTCAAAAGGCTTCATTTGCAACTGTTCAAATTAAGTTTTTCTGGAGGAAATAATAGAGGTGGGTAATCAAAACTACGGTGATGTGCTTTTTGTAAGTGAATTAATCACATGTTGGTTTACTTTAGGTTAAATTACTATAGAGGGTCTAGGAAAGGGCTAATAAGGAACACAGCCTGAGCTCCCAGCCTCCAAGGGCAGCCTTGTTCCCAGTGGACAACTTGTTGATAGATTGACATTTAAATACTTGGTGTGGAAGAGTAAAAGACCACTGGCTGCAGCATAAACCAGTTTTCGAGTCATTCATAATCTTTATGGAGAAGTCAATTAACGATCTTACTGGAAAGCAGAGGTTCATGGCACAAATGTCTGCTCCTGATTTATCAGTCACAGAAGTAGTTTCCCATCAAAGTCAATATGGAGCAATAGTCCACAGAGCTTTTTCCTCTGGTGGCAATTATTTTAATTACTCCGGGGACAGATGAATTCTAATTTTTGGTATATACAATATTACCATACAGCAACCACTTGGATTATTAAACCCATTGAGCTGTATCATGGCTGGCGTCATGTCACATCTCAGCCTGGCACCGGCTGTACTGATGTGCACACCCACTTCCAAGCAAGACCTATAGGTTCCTAATGGGACAAAAGGCAGGGAAACAGTAATATCATGGGCGTATACCCTTCTCCCCAGCAGTACTTATCACTGCAGGAAGCAAACATGCAAACCCCCATCACACACAGTTTCAGTGCAGCCATCAGAGCTGGGCACAGGGTGAGTGCCAGCACAGTGAGGAAGGTGTCAGCTCCACAGGGATGAGCCTGTTTTCTTACACCTTTCTCTGGGCTCCATGGCTTTCCTGAGCCAGTGCAGCTGCAGATGCTGTGCTCATCCTCACCGAGCTGTGATCATGCTGATTTATGCCGGGAGCATCTCTCATCCAGCCGCCTGCTTCAAGGCACTGGTGCAGCACACATCTGTTCCCGCAGCTCCCGACCCTGCTGCGCTGGGCTGTGACAAACTGGCCTGTGGAGGCAGAGAGAGGAAAGCAGGGATGATCTTTATTCCAGGTTGGGCTGTGAGAGACAGAACAGGGGAGCAGGAGCAGGGGCTGGGGCAGTGTGTGGAGCACAGCCTAACCCCAGCCCAGGCAGGGCCCTCTGGTGAGGGTGGGCAGAGCAAGCAGTGGTGTAGGAAAGCAGCCGTGCAGCAGTGGTGATAGGCTTCCTGCTGAGTGTTTTGTTTCATTACAAATACCTGCTTCAGTTGCAGGGCAGTTGGATTTGAGGAATATTCTCTTTCAGTATTACAGAAAAGTGCAACACTTTCAACTGCTCTCTATAGAGCAAACTCTACTGCATTAGTGTGTCCTTTTCTTTCTTTTTTATGACTACTGAGACAGTTGATGGTTTAGTCCTTTTTACCTCTGAAGCCAGAGCTGTTGTCACTGTTATCAACCTCTAACTCTATGCTGACATCCACAATCAAAGTAGGTTTTATTAAGCATATCCTTTTGGTAAGTTTGGTTTTAGTCTAAGTTGACATCATGTTTTCTAGTAAAGAGTTCAGGCTGCTAGGTTTAAGAGGCCTCTGACAGCACCCCTGTGTTAGTATTGGGCAGCAAAAAAGAGAAGTGGAACATGTTCACAAGTGTGGGACTTGATCTTCCTCTTCACTTCAGCCACTGAGAACTGGAGAGGATTCAGAGAGGGGAATATTAAAAGGTTGAAAAAGTCCTTAGAGCAAGAGAGAGAGTCAAGGAGCGCAATCCATGCCATGTATCAAAGGGAGCTTATGTGGTGCTTTGATCATAACGCCAAAGTACTTAGGCGGTGAACATAAATTTGAAGAGAGTCTTTAATCCATAGGCAGAGACGTGACCGTCAGGGTACGGAGCTGTAGCTGTATAAGTGTAGAACCAGAAACGAGCTTCTTGCAGTGAGGGACCAGGTCACCCAGGATCCCAGCAGGTTTATGCTGGTTTTTTAGATGCTTTTCTGGAAGTGCTGTTCTGGTTTGGGTGCTGCTGCTGGGCTGGATGTGGGAACGCGGAAGGTCTGTGCCTAAGCTTGAATAAGATGACTGTCTTTTGCTCTCAAAACATAATCTGGCAGTCCCTGGGTAAGGCCCTCTGTAGAAAAAAAGGTTAAAAATAATGTTCTCAGCTCTGTTCAGCTCTAATTCCGTTTAACATGAACTATGTTCTAAGGCAAGCTAAGGGCTGGTTTTAATCTGACACAGGCGCACAGACTGCAGTCATGTTATGTCTCATTTCACTGATGTTAACTGAGAATACGTTTCAAACTGTACATTGCTTGTTGCCCATGAAGAGGCCTGACAGTTTGCTGAAGTGGGGTTCCCACAGCGTCCACTGAGTGCTAAATCCTTCAGAGCCACATTCTAACTTCAGCCACACCAGAGCACACCCGAATGGCGTCACCTGCAGCGTTCGCTTTGATCTTCAGCATCGCTCTGTTTGAGCAGCTTGGACTTTCCCATTACTCATCTCTCAGTATTCCCACAATATAGGAGCAGTCGCCTCCTGTGCAAGCGTGGCCACTGCATGCTAAACTCTCATCTCACAAGCACTAGTCTAGAGTCCTGTGGCCTAATGCCTCATTTTGGAAGACACCAAACCCACCCCCCAAATCCTTTATTTTGAAGGTATCCACTCCAGCCTGGCCACAGGAATTGCTATACACATTGCAATTCTCTGTTAAATTCTCATCTTTCAGAATATTGCATTAACCTTTGTTCTGTTGGTGGCTTCAACTTGGCAGTGGGGATGGGAACTCGGCCTGCCATCTTCTGCTTTAAATCCAAGTCAAGCAGTGGCAATGAAATCATGTGGTTTGAATAATTCTGTGTGTTTTCTCACTAGGATACTGAGCTAGAGCCTTAACCTCCCCAGCAGTTCATGGCAGTTACAGCTGAGTTATTTGATTAAAATACTATTTTTACCAGCTACTTGAAAGTGCTGCTGCAATCTGATTTATTCTCATTGTTAGTGCTTGTTTGTTTAGTCTTTCAGCTGAAATCAACTTACCATTCATTGAGTACTAATGCCAAGGGAAACCATTGTCTTCAAAAATAATGGAGCATAATGTGCAGGAAAACACGGGTCTTTTGCTCACGCAGTTGCATATATATACACAAAGGTGGTTTGGGGGTTTAGGGTATTAATCTGCTTCCCCTGTGAATGGGTACTGGCAGCTTTTGTATCAGCCCACAGCTATCCCCTGTTCCACAGAGGAAGTTGGGGTATCCATGGCCAGAGATGGCGTCTTTTGCTCTGAGGTTATGTGCTGACAGTTGTCACAAGTACATGACAATGCACTTGTCATAGCTGTTTTTTTCCCTGCAAAATCTGGATTTCTTCGTATTTTCTGTTGGCCTGAAAACTACAGGGAACCTAGAGAGATGGAACAGTTAAAATCCCCAGTTTTAAAGTGGTAGAGAGAGTTGAGTGCCCAGTTTATGACACAAAGGTCTGACTTCTGAGGTGTACTGCACAGCCAATATTCTTAATAGCATCAGTGGGAGATGGGAATGCCCCGAGGCCCTGGTGCCTCGGAGCAAAGACACACACAAAAGCTGCTTTTAGTGTCTATTTGATATTCTGCATTCCCCAAATCTGAACTCAAGGTCTAAGCCATTAGTGTCCTTCTAAAAAGTCTTTGCAAGGCTTACTCTCTCTAATAACATGTTTTGGGTGGTTTTACATTTCTTAATAAGATCCTGCCAATTGATGTGTTGTTGAAAATGTAGTTTTCACTGCTTAGGTGGATGGATGCTCAGTTACACATAAAGCTTGATGCAACTGAATTTTAACACTGCCACAACAGAATTTGACTTTTCCTCTTAAAAGTAAGAGCTCACTTATTTCGCACTACTAGGCAGAGAGGTTCTAACCCTGGAATGTTGTAGGGAGAACTGACAATATACGAAGGGGGAAAGCAGGGAAAGCATCACCAGTGTATCCTCAATTATTGCATTTGTATTAAGGGGCTCTTCTGTTTTTTTTTCCTCCCAACAGATGAAGCAAGAAGGTTTTATTTAAAATAATTTAATCTTGCTCAGTCTTTAGTGGCTCACAGTTCAAGCCCAGAGGGATAATATGACTTATTTTCTCTGATCTTCCAAAGCAGACACGCTACAGAAGTCTCTGCTTCCAGTACAGCCACATTCCCAAGTCTTCCCCTGAAGGCGGTGTGGCAGCAACTTGACTTTAGTATCTCCCCAGCACACATGAGGTGTACCTGGTTCTCGTGTTCCAGGCAAACACCTACTTCAGCTGTAAACTCTTCTGACATTTCTGACAGAGGTAATTTTAGTGCTCTGGGGGACTTCTGGCCTTACCAAAAATAGATGGGAACGGGGAAACATAATTTACAGGCAAAACTACAAAGATGCTGGGGAGAACAGCATCTATATTATGTGACAGCTTCTGAAAGAGCATCACAAAAGTACCTGCTACATCCAAAGGCTTTCTGGGCTTTTTTTGCTTCCTGTGATTAAGTTTCTGTCTTTCTGGAAATCCTCCAGTACTAAGACACATGATTGGAAGTCCTTGTATGCATGTTATTTGTGTGACATTTGTGGTGGCGCTGGAACACGTTTTACATCAGTGCGACACCTTAGGAAGGTGTAGACCTGTTCTGACTCTTACACACCTGCAGTGCACAAAGCTAACAGTGGATGCAGGTTTCTGTGGGATTTGAGATCAAGCCATTGTGGTGTCTTTGCTTAAAGCAGGAACCAAGTTTGCTGTGATTCAGGAACCAGCCTTTCCTTCAATTAAAGGAAAGTTACCTGTTGTTTACTTTTAGAAAATAATTACATTTCCTTCCCCAAATGTTATAGCAGAACTGATACATTTATTAGTAGTTTTAGATGTATTTAAATACAGAAAAATTAGTGTCAAAAACCCAAAACACTGCTGAGGGCAAAACAGCAAATTAGGCAGTGAATACATCCTGGGGAACACTTGTTCTGCTTGTTGTCTATAGCTGTGTGCACTGGACGGATGCTCTTCCAGGTAGATCTGTCATCAGAACAGCTGTTCCCCTGTGTTACACCCTACCCAGGTGTAACAGGGTGATCAAGGGAAGCTCAGAGATGTTTGTAGCCAGTTTCACTGCTGTCCTAATGGATAGCATGTCCCATCTGCCAGCAACCTTGCCCACACCACATGGGTGGGATGCTGCTGTCACCTGCAGAGTTCACACATCTTCAAGAGCTTCCTCCCTTCCATGGTATCTGTTTCTTGTGGCTCTTTCAGGTGTTTTTCTAAAAAGATGCTGTCCTCCAGTGCCAACCCCTTGTCAGAAAGTTGGCACCTGAATTTGGGGTGGATTTTACCTTACTGAGCTGGGGGTGTTAAAAAGGTCTCACCCAATGGAGACACATATCTGCTCTAGGCGAATCACCCTCACCTAAGGCTATGTTGATGAACTATAGTTTTGATGAGGCCTGGACTCTCCACTGACCATAAAGGAAATGTGGAAAAATAGTTTTCTATATTTATGAGATCCTCATGTGAAGGGGAGATTAATCTTGCTAACCATAAAGTAGCTTAGAGGAAATCAGTTCCTGACTATTTATCTTCATGCAGAAATTCCCCTGCTGAGTAATCATTTCTTTTCCATGGATCCAAGATTACCTCCGCTCATTTCTTTGTAGGCAGGGTAAGCATTTGTCTCTCTTCCTTCAGCTGAGCTGCTGTGTGTGTCCATCACTGGCACATCAGGCATCAGGAGACCCCAGGACACACTTCTGTTTCTGCTGTGCTGACTTTCCCATTTCACTCACGGTTTTCCCTGTATGTCCACAGGCACATCTACAGCTCCTGTGTCTCAGCAGTGCACAGTGCCCTGTGTACTGGGCTGCTCCTGCAAAGGGTATCCCACATTCGAGCTGAGTCGGGTGACTCCATCCTGCTATAGAGCTGCCTCCTGGCAAAATCAGAGCTCAGCAGGCTGTAGGATGAAAGGACAGAGGTGGCTTCAGTGTAGAACACTGTTACTTAACAGTGATGGCTGGAAGACTTCTCCTTAAACACATCCTGATGTCTTATTCAAAGAAATAACATGCAGGGACAAATGTTTTAAGAGTGGAGGGGATAGAAGAATGATCTCATTAAGCTACAGAAAAGTAACTAAAAAGGATGGAAGCTGCACTAGGTAACTAGATGCACAATACTCTGGTGACACCTCAGAGCATTTCTCAAGGCTACAAGAAGAGATGTAATCAGTAAGAAACAGTAAATACAAAACTGAAGATGAGCTACAGACTTTGTGAAAGATACTAAACCTGTTCAGAGTAGAATCATTACTAGGGTCATACTGAGATCAAAAAGAGAGTGAAATGGTATTCAAAGATGATGAATATTCAGAACATGTAATACTAATGTTCCCCTATTCCAGAAAATGGTTATTAAATTTCCCATTGCCTTACTTTGCTCTACTTCCATACAGAAAAAGATGCTGTTGCTTTTGCCTGGCTTGCAGTGCAGCTCGTAAATAGCCATATTGTCACTAATACCTGGCCAAGACAAACTTATTTTAAACCACATTATGAAGTGTGAGACAGCCTTTAATGCCTTTATTCATGTCAGATAGCACCTTGTAACCTAACAGCTGCTGATGCTGTTTGAGGAGTGAGAGGTAGTGCCACATCAGTGTCACAGTTTGAATTCAGTGGTCGATTTCTACATAGGGACTGAAGTGCTAATATTTTATACCAATATTTGAAAACATTGCTACTTTGTTAGAGTGTGTTACCTTTACAGCCTTACCTTGCTCTTCAAATAACTGGTGTCATTGCTGGATTATAACGGGTATGTAAACAGGGGCTGTAGAGCCAATCGTTCCTACCAATGGTATTGGCAGACCAGAACAGCCTTGTGCCTAAAAGCCATAGAGAGAGCCTGCAGCCTCCTCCCTCCTCTAAACACAGAGTACTGGCGCTGACAAGTGTGGGTAAGCATAGGGATTAACCTGGGCGTACATCGTAGTGCGTGCTGCAAGGAGCAAACACTTGTACACGTTAAGCAGGAAATCATACATTGCAGATGTGGCTTCAGGTGACTGCATACTTAAATGTGTCTTTTAAAGAAAAAACGTGGAAAGAACCTAGGTGGCTGTAAGGGCTGGCAAAGGCCACGCTCCAAGCATATAAGCTTTTGATATATTACTCCAGTTAAATTAAAGATTCCCTAACTCATTTCACTTCATTAAAGCCACTAAAATAACAGTGCAGCGTCTCAACGGCAGGGATTAATTTTTGAAGCAGCACAGGGGCATTTTGTTTCAGTGCCTGATGTAACTTGATTGAATCAGACAAATGAAATAAGTGACCTCTATCTAGCAAGGTTATAGTTGTAGCTGGACTTAAAAGGAGATTTGTGCTGAAGTACACAAGAATGGAAATTGCAATGTGAGAAGAATGCTAAACTGTCATGGAAGAGGTGATGCGACTTGCCCCTGGAGTAGGAAGGGTTAAAGGGTGCTGTGGGGGTGTTTCAGGCCAGGGTCCGCATCGATGATTTCTCAGTAAGTAGATGTTTTTTGCTGTTGGTAACGAAATGTATTGTTTAAACAAAATGGTTTAAATTAGCTTATTGGTAATGCTCTAGGGGAAATGAATTTCTAGAATCGTATTTCAGGCACTGGACAAAACAAATGCTGCCCTACATTGTTGGAAAGGATGAGAAGTTTCAAGTACCCTCAGTATTTAATACCTGGAATTAGATATCATAGGAATGACATGGAATAGTTACTTGATGAAAATACAGTTCATTTAAAGAGGATTAAAGTGCACATAAAAGTTACCCACCCCTTTAGAGAATGTAATTGGTTTTTGTATCTTATAATTTGCTCTTCTGTTGGTGGCCTTTGTTTTAATAATACACCCTTTACTCTAAAATTCTAAATGTAATTAAGAGTTTGGAAGATCAACGCTTTCCTTTGACTATGTCAGGCAGAATTAAAGCTACCTGTGGCCTCCAAGAACACTGGGGCATGTGCAGGGCTGCAGAGACCTGCTCTTATATGGGGTTTAAGTTTCAAACATTAAAGCAACTCGACTTGGACCAACCAGAGAGTGGAAGTGGAAGTGAAATAAATTGTGGAGTGATGAAATCACTTTAGACAACTTAATGAAAAAAAGAAAACAGCTCAGATCCCACTGAGCCACCAAATGATTGATTTCCACATGGAAGCACCCATCTCCAAGAAGCCTTTGACAAAACTTTCCCTTTATTTCCATGTGGAATGGTTGTTGACCGAAGGATTAAAAAGACCGAGGGAAGAAAGGGACAGAATGGGTTATGAGCCCAACAGACAGGAGAAAATACATTGAAAACAGCAGACTGAGCTACTTGTGTATTCATTAAACATAAAGGTACCATTTGTAGATGTTTGGATTTCTTAATACTCAGGAAGAGTTGATGGTAAATGATTTTCAGAAGGAGCACAAATACTTTGAAATCTTCCAATATATTATTTAACATTTTCTTTTGACAGTTGTTTTAAGTCCTGCTATGTCAAGAAAGTTAATAGCAAAACATGAAAACCAGTTTGCCTGAGATTACCAAACAACTGCCTTTGCTGATCTGGAGCACTGAGGTTCTGTTAAAATGAAATCACAGTGGTCAGATTGCAGGTGGCATCCCAGAAGGACGAATTAAGCTGTTGACTGAGCTGAGCTACCAAACTGACCACGGCTGAACAGGGAGGAGTCCTGCAATCCTTGGCACCCCCAGTAACTGTGGTAAGTGAACTCTTGTTGTGCTTACAGATGAATTTAAAATTTGATGCTTAAAATGCCACGTCACCTGAATTATTTTTGGAGCTCGGACTGCTCTGATATAGGCTTTTCTAGAACACTGAAATAGTAATATCTTCACAGCCACGGTCATACTCAGGTTCCTTCCTCTGGTGCTTTTTGCTTCCCACCGAGGCCCTCTGTAATGAGTAAGAGCAGTTGCCTGTTAGTGCAGAAGCCAAGGAAGGGAGAACAGCAGAGCCAAGGCTGTGGAGCTGGTAGCTGGTAAATCCTTGCTGGTTTAAGCCAACAGCAACTTTTTGCCTGGGAGCAGGCTGAAATGGGAAGACTTAACACAGTATCAGTATAACTAGCACACATGCTGGTTATGGCTGCATTGGGAATGTAGAAACAACCTCCAAAACCTGGACTGTATCTGCTTTAGGGCTAATTAAAATGAAATCCCCCTTCAGGAAGCTATCGTTCCACACTCCCCAGGCTCTAGCTGGGTTTTGCCATACACTACCAAATTGTCTCCACTTCTGAAGTACTTGTGCCAAGAAAGGGAACAGCATAGTAGTACCCATTGTACAGGTCCACTGCTTTCATTTAGTTCCTCCGAATTCAGTGGCAGAATTAATTGCGAAATAAAATCCATGTAATTGGATTAATTAACCTTACATTTTAAGGTCCTGAAATACAGAATTAGCCATGGGGTAAATGCACAATGCAGGTTTTTCCTGTAAACAGACCAAGTGCTATTTTTGGATCTGTAGCTCATCAAGCTGTGCCTTGCTTAAAAAGCTGCTAGGGTAAGAAACGGGGCTTTGAAGGGGGGAGGATAAATACCATAATTAGGGCTGCAGGACAATGAAAGGATTATTCTTACATATAAAAGTATTTGAGTGAAGTTGCTTGAAAGATATACCTAAAATTGCTTGTATGGGTCTAATACTTTCTTTACAAGGACTTGCAAATCTCATTGAATATTTATGGACCTGGAACATAAGAGTGGATGAAATTTAAAACATAAATTCAATAGCAATTTATTGCAATGAAATTCCCTAGCAGTTGTTGCCCCAACCTCTTAGCCTTAATAGACAGGCTTCACGTTGCAGAACACAAGCCCAGTGATAAATGATATCAAAGCTGAATGCCCTTGATTGATGAACGCTGCCTCATTTGATGACTATAAAACAGTCCTGAGGGCTGAGCTCACCACTATTTTGGTTGTTTTGTATTTTTTTTCCCCTTAATGCATATATTGCAGAAGGGTTGTTTGTGCTTCTGTGATGGTTATCACATGCAAATGAGCATGCTGTTTCCCAGATGCAGATTTTGTATTTATAGATGAAATACAGCCTGAAAAATCATATGTTAATTACATTCTGAGGGTGTAGCAGAATTTCTCACTTGAACATGTTTTGTTTTGCTAGAAATAGCACAAATTCCAGATCAATGTATTGAATTGCTTGATGGCTGGTTATAAATGTATCATGCTTTAGAAAAAGCTTTCTGATCATTACTGTGACTAATAATTTACCGCTATTTCAATGCTTAGACTTCTGTCACACATTATGTATTTGATTTGGGTTTTTTTAACAATTTGTAGTTCTCAGAAGACATCCAATACTTGATTGTCTTCTGGGTGGAAGGATCAAAGCCGATATCAGAGATACAGTGGCAGAGATCTTCTGAGAGATGTTTTGAGAGGAACAGGACTCCTGGTCAGCTCAGTTGGCTCTAAATAGGGTTGTTTGTTTTTTTTTTTATTGCTTGTTACAGTTCTACACGACATACATCATGCTGAAAATCCATATTATTGAGGTTCCTCCTTCAGTATATAGTGGCCAACTGAGACACTGCCTCAATACACAGTGGTATGTGTCTTGACACAAGAGGCCTCAATAGTCACTGGTAATGGAGATGTCCAAAGAAACACAGTGCCTCCTGAGACAACAGGGAAAACCCAACAGGCTGATTCAGCTGCAGGCTTAGCAGTTGTTCAATGGTACATGTTGGCTGCTGGCTTTTAACCTGAGAACTAGTGCACAGGTTCTTACATCCCAGCATGCCAAAGGATACACCAGAAATGTTTAGGAAAATTGTGTTCAAAAGGGAATGTAGCAATGCTTGGACTTCAAGCCAGACCAGATTTGCCCTTGAGGGACTGTGTTATTGAAGGCAATGCTGAGCATAAGCCCGTTACAATAAAAGGTGGGGGAGATTTTGGAGAAGTCAATATACAGCATTCAAATTGCCTATTTTTTTTTTTTACTGTCCCAACAGTTGCAAAACATCAAAAATAAAGAGGAAAGCTTCAAATATACAGTGGACTTCATTATTGCAAAGAAAAGTCTGATAAAACAGCCATTACATCAACAGGAAACATCTCACTGGTTTTCATTGGCAGGATCAAGCCTATACAAAAAAGCAAATAGTTTCCTAATAACAAGTAGTTAAAAATATGACCTTTGCTGTTTGTTTTCTGCAAATGTAAATCCTTTGACCAGTTACAGATTCAAAGATCTGTCCAGAAGCACCAAGCTGGAAGGAATGATTAGTATGGACTTCAAACCCAGGTAAGTCTCACTTTAGAACAGCCTGCTACAATATATTGCAATATATCCTGAAAGCCACAGATGAGAACAAACAGTACCAAAATACTTAGTAAATTGAAAATACACCCACCCCCTATTCCCTTTTCACAGCTCTCATAAGTCTTTTAGTAAATAAATAAATCACAGAGGTACCAACAAAACTGGCAAACTAAGAGGTAGTTCATGTAACAAAGCATCTCTGTCTGCGAGCACGTCTTGCTGCTGTAGGCAGTGCTGTGCAGTTCAGGAATCTGAAGCCATGTACGGCTGCAGGTGCTGTGCCAGCCTTCCTGTTCTGGTCCCAAGAAAAAAAGCAGGCACAGGATAGTTTGGTCACATCAGCTAACCTGAGAGCAGTTCAGGTACCCAGAGGGCAGTACAAAACATGCCCTATACTCCTCACTCTTCTCAAGCAGCAACACTCTTGTTTGCTTTTTGGCAATTATGCAGTTATTATATAACTGTAGGTCATTATTCAGTCAATAGAAATGTTGATCTTCCAGGCTTAAGAAAGCTTCCATCCTGATAATTTTATACTCTGCTTATATACCTAATCCTGGCTTTCTGAACATGTATGTGCATGTCAAATGTACCTAAATACATTCAGATTGGTATAACTGCAGTTTGGTTAGGATGCAGTATGATTACAACAGTCATGTGGGCTCTATGTAGTGGTGTGCTCCACTGCATACAAGAAATCCTCCCTTTGAGGCCTTACAACAATGAAAACTGCGTTCAAAGAGTGTATTTCTCCTATGTGATCTTACAAAATGATACTGGTCTGTGATGAACTGGTACACTAGAGACAGTGTGCTGAATTAGATAAAATCTGAGTTTGAATAGCAGACAACTCCTGTGATGTTGGTATGTTTGAACAGAATATTAATGCATGTCTTAATATCTCTTCAAAACAGAAACCAAGAGAAACCCAAATCTAACTGTACATCCTCCATTACAGTGCTTTACATAGACTGGTGGGTATCAGTTGTGGTCTTGCAATTCACTGGAGTCTTAGGACAAGGTTCTCATAGGCTTTTCTTTCACTTTCCCATGAATGATGTTTCTTCATGTAGTCTTTGGCTTTTGTTACAATTTCTTTTTCCATAATGGGGTCATTCATCAAACTCTTGGACAGCACAACAAACTCCTAAAAAAGATAAAGAAAGTTCTAATGATACTGAACTAGCTTGTACCCATATCGGCTGTGATTTCAGTAAAGCTCTTCAACTGTGAGCCAATACATGAAGTCATTCAAATGAATTTTTCAAGGTCAAGTATCATAGTTTATTTATAAACAGTGATCAATAAATAATTATTCTGTATATCATTTTACACAGCCCGCCAACTAAGACATTTAAAATCACAGACAATCCCATGAGCATTAAGACAAATAAGAGCAACAAATTTAATGACTCAAAAATTGTTTGCCTGCCCAAGTGTTAGAAAACCAGGCTGATTATAAATTAAATAATTCATCTGGTCGCCTGCATGGAGGACAACTGGCAACAGGCTTTTGATCTCAGCTCAGCTAAACTTGTATCTCACTGCTACTGTGACATCTTTAGCTAGTTTTATGGTAAGACTAAAAACCAACATAAACAGTTACAGTATGAAGATAAGCACAGGCAGGCAGCAACAGGCTCTTCTGGAGCAGATGCATCTGGGCACTTACAGACACAGCAGTGTTAGCAAAACAAGCTCTGCAATAAAACATATTAATTTCCTTTAACTGTACTGGCCAAAATACAGCTCTTCCTTTGCCTGCTCCTCTGCCACTCTAATTTATTTAGTTCTAAGGAAGAGAAACTGTGAACTTCCAACATGTGAAAGGAGATCTGATGTCTGAACTAATCTGTTCGGAGCAGCTGGTCTAATTTTCTATCAGGAGACAACTTCCAATACTTTAGCTCGATTATAAATGTGCTCAGATCTTTGCGTCTTGGTTCAGCTCAGAAAAGCAGACTGCTATTGTGTCAATGGAAAATTAAGATACTGCACTACTACACAAGTGGTAGTGAAGATCAGTGCATAGGGATGCGGGGGACAAAAAGGATGGGAGACAGAGATATGTTATTTACACAGTCTATCGGCTGTGAAAGGCATTATCACAAACAAGACCAGAATTTTTATGAACACTAGGCTGACTACTAAGCTATACTTGAAAATCTAAGTACACAGTGTATATAAATACATACATGGATAGAAAATCTTTGGTTACCACGGAATCAGTTTCCCTGTTGTAATGCAAGTGATGGGTATGCATAATACATAGCTATAAAGTGACCCCTGGGAAACGCTGGTATGTTAAATCACATTAAACATGTTATAATCACTGCTTTGGCTCTCACTGACAAGATAAACTATCAATATATGCATCACTGGCATCAAATTTGAATAGTCAGAAAGGTTTGTAACTAGGTAATAGAAAGATTTTCATACATGTGTATTAACAACCCCTTATTTTACAGTACTGTAGTTTTTGCTCTGTCCACACAGCACTGACAAATCAGCCTTTGGACTAGCCAGGAGGACCACATGCTTCACCTCCAGCCCATTTTCCATCCACAGCTACCTTGGTGTTCAGGTATGTGCTCATTTTATCAGTATATCAGTTTTTCCCTTGGAACTCACATGGCCCAAAGAGGGAGTTATCTGGTTTCCTGTGATTCTCATCCTAAAAATACTAAGTAAGGTTGGTCCAGGAAGTACCCTGAGGCTGCTTCTCTCAGACAGTGCAGATACAGCCACTGACTCCAGCTTTAGAGCCACGTTCTTTTCCTCCTTTCCTTCCTCAATATCTGCCAAGAATACAGAGCAGGCAAGGTGGGAAAGACTTACATGACTTATGGTGGCTTCATCCAGTTGCCTATATAATCACAGTAATAAATACTGTTCACACTGAACTACATTCCAACTTTAATTTTATGTTCCTGTGGAGGATTTTATGTAATGTTTAAAAATAATTTATGTAAATTACCTAAGAACAGAAGCAGCAATGTAACATTTCTTGACAGGTACTCCTATTAGCATTCTTTTAAAATGTGGATATAGAGGACAAAAACTTGGAAACATGTAAATGATAGAAGAAATTAGATCCTTATTCACAGTTACAATATTTAGTGCTGGAGATAATTTCAGGAAAATGCCAAACTGACTCCAAAGCATAAAGCTGAGAAACTGCAGGAGGGAGAAAAAGCAAATGGAAAAATACCAGGAAGCAGAGAATAAGGACTTCTTAGTTTTATCTTTACTTCTACTAATCAAATATGACCACCTACAAGTCACCTGCAATCTGACTGGAAGCCAGTGGGAAGATTCACTATGACTTATCTGGGTTTTGCCTCATACCCTTTGAACAGCTGGCTTAGCTTGTCTTGGATGCTCAGCTTTAGAAAGCAATAACTTCATTTTTCAGGTGTCTCACTTAACTAAACTGACTTGCATTTCAGTCACAGTTTTGTGGTAAGTCTGAAGCTCCCACGTGCAGAATGCAGACATTCAGAACTCGGAGCTTTTTCAGAAAATTGAACATTCAATTTTTCTGTTCTAGAAGCTGATGATACACAAGCTATTTACAGTGTGGTAACATGGCTCTGTCAGCTGTTCCGCTGAATTCGTGCAAGTGATACTGCACACGGTTTTGTGCATTCTCATATTTTGTTGTAGATGTGAAGTAACCTTCACTCCTGCTGAAGGAGGGGAAAAATTCATCAATGACTTACCAATTACCAAACATAAGGGTATGCACTTCAGCAGCCAGAATGAAGGAGGAGATGCGCATGCTAACTTACTATTGGGGGACATCCATATTTGTAGTAAGCCTTTTATTCACATACAGAAATCAGTATTATTACATGTGACAGAAAAACACTGTAAAAGCTGAACCTCAGTAGTTAGCCATTACCCAGAACAAACAGGAGAGAAGATCATCTCGTGTACCTCCAGAACAGATACTTCATGTGCCCTTTCTATGGATAGTACTTCACTTCAGACACAAGCATTTTTCAACAGCAGCATCCCTAACACTTTTTTTTCCCGGTGAACTGACCGACCATCTTTAAAGAAAACATCAGCTTCTCTATATAGTACCTAAAAGAAATTCTGTATAATAGTTTGCAGAGACGCAGATATGCAGGTATCTGGGAAATAAAGCTAGAAAGTGAGTGCACTGAGTAAAAAGAATGACTATTCCTTCAACTACCATGAGAACTACATCGGAACTGCAGCTCACACATAATGAAAATAAGATGCATGGTTAATATATTATTTATGTAATGAAAGTAACTGTGCAATTAAACCATTTCATATCAGCTTCAGCAGATAAAGGAACATGATTCTTAAACAACAGAGAATCACCCAAGGGAAGGCGAGTGCCAGATGTAAATTCAGAATAGCGACAGATCAACCCAGTGGCGGGCACAGCTCAGAAGTCAGCTGGCCCATCTGTGTACTTCACAGGGCAACGGGCCAATATTTCTAGGGGAGTATAAACAGTGACTGCTGGCAGTGCCAGAAACTGCAAATTAGTCTGGTCAGTGTGAAGGTTGAAAGCTCTGAAAACTTGGGCAATATTCTGGCTTGAAGCCCTGCTGGCAGTGGTGCTGACCCACGTCTGGCAGAGGAGAGTAATGTATGTTCAGTGTATTCGTGCCTGTTCTCAGCTGAGCTGTGTTTCCCTCTCACCACTTCAAAAGTTGTCTCTGCTAACACAAGTCTTTCCAGGACCCACTCTCTCTCAAACTTGGTTGGTGCTTGGCCTCTCTTACTGGCTTTGAAGTTTATTTACCTCCTCCTGTTTATTTAGCTCCTTCTGTGAGCTTTTACAGATGCTGAACATGTAATTTTGAAACTCAGAATGCTGAATAACTGTCTTCCCTTTCAGCGTGGTTTTGCATTATTTATTGCCCTATTCTTATCTATTACTTATTTTTTTATTTCAGGTCCTATTAAGTCAGTGTGAAATATTCCATAAACTTGCAAATTCAAGTAATGGCAGGATCAAACTATGATTTAAAAGTAGTGAGGTAGTATCAAGGACAAAACGTTTCATAGCTTTCACTTCTCCATTAACTGTTTCTATGCAAGTATTGTCTTCAGTGACTGGCAAGGCTTTCTCTATTTCCAGTCAAGTAGTCTCAGCATAAATGCAAATGGATAACGATAACTACAGTCATGCACAGAATTTCCTACTTCCCTGTAAGCTGCAAAGGCTCACTTTCAGCAAGAACAAAAGAAGAAAACCATCAGCATTCACAATTTAAAACAATTCTCATTGTATAATGGTAATTCTATATCCCTCTTATTTAGCTTTCAAAAGATAAGATAGTCCGCAGACCATACACAACTGCTCGTATCTAAGGTAACTTTATTGTAAAGCTTTCCCTCCCCAGATCAGTAACAACTTGAAAATAAGCAGTGCCTTCTACTCTTGAGCTGTGATACAGTCTGTATCATCACAACCAGACAGGATCCACTAAACTTGCGTAGCAATGAAAATATCTTTGACATTTTCTAATCCTTGGTGGTCTGGATTCTTCAAGGCAGGAGACTTTCACAAACACCTGAACACAGCAGTAATCTCCCTATATGATTAAAGGCTTTTTCCCTAACTAACCTGATGCAATTGAGGTTGCGGCACAAAATACCAGATACTTAAGAGGTCAAAATAATCAGAGTAACAGACCCCACAAAACTTCTTACCAGAAGATGTTTTCTGCTCCCTGTTGTCAACTGAATCTTCTAAGGCAGTATCCAAACTGCCATGGGCAAACTGTTCCTTCTTACAACAATAAAAATATGAAACCTACTTTGAAACTGTGTTTTAACTTAATCACATTTCTTTGGTCTAATATAACTTTCAACCCATGATAGACTATGTACAGTGGTTTAAAAATTGTATTTGATATGGTTTGGGGAGATAAGGAACAAGAGTAAATGGTTACGTTAAAGCCATGAGCGATGATGACTGGCATTCTGAGCTCATGAAGAAAGTTTTCAACAACTGCAGTGGAGTTAAGAGTATTACCCTTGTAAACAAGTACTTTCCTGACCCATTTCCAAACTTTGATAGTTTATACTGTATTTGACAACAGTGACAGGATAAAAGGGCTTTTACTAAATGAGATACAATTGATGTTTTACAGAAAAGAAGGACTATTACCTTCCTTTCTAAGATAGGTTATCTATCTGCACAAACATTAGTGATTCCAATACAAATATTACCTATGAGTATGAATATGGTAATGCAAGTCACCATCTTCATGTCAAAGAGATTCTGTGGACTTCTGAGCTAGAGTAACTGCAAAAGGGGGGTCAAAAAGCAGAATAGGGGAGTTTCTGATCTTTGCTATAGCATGTTGCAGAGAAGGGATCTCGGGCAGAAGGGGTTTATATAAACTAAGCTTACAGTGTTCTAGACATATTTACAGCCTGTGACTCCAGTTCTGACATAAAAGGAAGTCCTTAGCCATTTGTACAGAGCCACTGATGTCACTGGGCCTAATTCTGTATTTAAATTTGCACTTTCCTCCAAGTAAGGAAATATATAGCGTATTTTTAATTGATCTTGGATTCCAAGGAAACACTCGGAATGTAGGACGCTTGGAGATTGCAAAAGAGGCTTCTTACAAGGATGTATGATGAAGCTAATTGGGTATGGAATGAATAATGTATTTGAATTACAAGCCAAATGTAAGCAGCATATTGAGGGAACCAACAGAACGTATGAGAATTCATAGCAAGGAAGCTATCTATCTGTGTGTTCAACATGATCATATATCCGTCAAGTTCTGGAAGCATATGGAAGTCAATGGGCTTTTGCAGGGAATACAAAGGATTTTATAAACAGCTTTATATCTCAGCCTCCACTAGCCTGGAAGTATCCCATTTCCAAAGGATATTGCAAGAAGAGAACAAAATTCAGATGTTAATGAAGAATTTTTTCTCCATAGAAGCTATTGGAAACATTGCATATCCCATAAAACAAAAAACAAAAAAAAAAAAACAAGCAAACAATAGAATTTTTCTATTAAAAAGCCCCCAGAATTAAATGAGAGAATTTGCCTTCCTGAAGTACAACTTAACAGGAGGCATTAACCACACACACACACTCCATAAAGTAAATAAATATGATACATTTTCTACTTTACAAATGGACTATTCTAGTAAGGGCTTTTTTAGTCTTGAGCTGGATAAAAACGCATGTGTAACAGCAAAGCCGTAATGCAGGAAAATAAAATGAAAATTTCTAGCATTTAAATACAGGTAGTGTTCCCTGTCCCCACTCTCACTTCTCTTCACAGAAACTCCATTCTAACCCTTTGCTTAATTTTAATCATTAATTATTTTCTGACTGAGCAATATCTTGAACCTGATAGTGCTTTATATTAACACTTACTGCTAGAAATTAGAGATAACGTATTATCTAAAATTTCAGACTCTTAGTTCTTTTGGTTAGAAACTCCTTGTCAAATATGAGTTTGTATTTCAGTTACTACTTAAGGGGAACTGTGACACAAGTATAGCATCTCTTCCAGAGTTGGAAGGCTTATGGAGCCTTCAAACCTGAAGTGCGCCACTCAGATGGCACGCTGTACAGCAGCACAGGCAAGGCAAACATTCAGCAAGGCTGACACCTAGTCAGAGTTTAGTGAACTGCAAAGTGAATGCAAAGAAAGGCAGTCTAAAACACAGGATTGTAGGAGAATCTGAGAAAAAGCTGCTGAGAGGAAAAGCCAAGTTTGCAAACACAAACATGGAAAATGAACCTAGGCTTTGGAAGGGAAAGGTCTAAGATCTGTTGTTTTCTTACCTGAGGATTTGAAAATAGCAGTCCTGTTTCCTTATGTTTTATTATTGCTGCATTCCCAGGAATGTTCCTTGCCAGCACTGGAATGTTTAAATCCATTGCCTAGAGGAACGCAGAAAGAGGAAACAACAGTTTATTAGGATTCAGGGATTTTGAGATGTAAATGATGACAACTTTAAAATGAAAGGCAGAAACAACAAACCAGACTTTCTTTCCCATCTCTCCAGATTTTTAGTTGAAAGCTACCACGTCGAAGGTGATCTCCTATATGGAACTTCTCTGAAATATTTTGTTTATCCTTTTGTTAGTACTGTAACTTAGAACATATTATCAATCCAGAACTTTAACAAATAGCTGCTTCATTGTTTATGCTTTTCCATCTGAAAGTATGCAGTTTGTTTCCCATTGGAAGGAAGCTCCTGACATGTTACAGGCTTGAAGAGGATAAAATTAAAGTTCAGATGAAAGGTTGTCACTGTAACTCCTACTGTTATTATGCACAGATGAGAAGATTAGTTCATAGCACAAAAAGCCACTTCTCCCCACCAAAGTATCTGTTCCTTTGTTCCATTAAACCACTTTATTTTTTTCCACAGACTTTCTGTAACATGTGCAGAACTGGACAGAGGTGGGCAGCTCAACGACAGTGAAGGTGACCGTGTAAATTGCTTGGCTCCTTCTCAGCTCTGATTCCTAGGGGTCATATAGGACTGTGGAAGGAGTTTGTCTTTTGACAGCATCTGTGACTATAGGCTGTCTTGGACTTTGGGCATTCAGGGGCTGCACAGAAGTATGCAGTGATGCAGCTTCTGACTGAACTATACCAAGGAGAGGAGAGAAAAGGTTATGCTTTCAGAACACATTACGCTTTCAAAACATATTACCTACAAAGCTATTGCTATGGGACTCCTCACAGACCAAGGAATACATCTGAAGAAGCAGGATTTGAGTCCACAGAAATTATAGGGCGGTTGCTTGATGTGTTTACTCATTTATTTCTATGCATATGTATGTGTGCATTTATGCATATGCATAAAAAAAGGAAAAGAAGTGTGGGGTCTTAACATGGTAGCATTCCAGGTTGCCTGCAGAATCAGGAGCAGAGAGGTAGCACAGCTAATAAACCACTTCCAAGCGCCCTAATGCCTGGCAACTTTAAAATATACAGCTTAGATTTTGCAGTAACTGGTGTGCAAACCCTGGCCATTCAGCTCCGTTACTCATGCATATCCTGATCTGAAACTTTAATTACTATTGATGAATTCGGATGTCTTGAGATGCACTGACTGTAAAACCGCAAAAACTCATCTCTTACAATTATCACGGTGTCAAACGAGAAACGAATTCACTCCCCCAAACCTTCAATCTGTTTCATACCGATCCCCTGTCACTTCAAAGTGAATGCATTTTTAATTACTGTCATTACACTCCTGGATGGCTAGCAATTTTCCTTCAGTCTACATAGTAAGAAAACAGAACTGCAAGGAGAACCATGGTATTTTATAGCTCAGACAAAACTGAAGACAAAAAGATCCTGGCTGATATAGAACCAATTATGTCTAGAACAGTGAGGGACTTCTGAGACATAGCAACAGGTCTTAATAGCTTAAAATATCTAAGAGAAATGCTGCTTAAATCACCACTGCAGGTGAATATACGCTGGACATGGAAATTCTATAGTCCTTCTGGAACAAACATCTGCTTTGCACTAGTTGGCACTAAAAATAACAACACTCGAAATAACGTCTTCTACTCTTTGTATCAGAAACTACTGGGTCAGCTGGAGGTAATTCAGACAAATAGATTAACTAAGTGAACACAGCCCAGATTAAATAAATGAGAAATGTAAAAACTACAGATTTCTGAATTTAAGTGTCTGGAGTTGTTGAGGTGCAGGGTTTTTAAAACTAAAAAGTCTTTTTGTGAGAGGAAATGCAATAATTTTGTCATTTGCTCTGACTTCACTGTTAAACAAATCTGTCTTCCAAAGGTAGATTTGCAAAAACGATATGATGACAGTATGTACTTATCAGTAAAGTTCACAGAACTTTGAAGTTCACCCAGGAAATGAAACAGATCGGTGCGCCACTCCGTCTGACAGGTTTTCAGTCTGCAGATCAAGGACATGGCTTTTGGCTCTAATTACCCAACCACGGCCCTAACACAGGGTTACCTCAGAAGCATCAACATCTTCTAAAAGAGAATGGCTGAGTCAGCTGTTTTTCAGACCTTTCTGTTGACAGGCTTAAATGCCCTTGTGTTCAGTCTGCTGGCTCTTGACTTCATTCATAGATGTTCAGTGACCTGGGAGCGTAGACATTTTTTTGACCGTGTGAACTGAAAATGAAGAGCTTGACAGTGGCAGTGGTCACTGTCACCTGCCTGAGGCCTTCTCCTCACCTCTGGATCTCTCCTTTTACAAAACTGTAAGAGTATTTCAAGTCTGACTACTTTCCAAACAAGCGATTGTCCACTCAAGGGAAAGAGCACCAGGAAGAAGGAAGGAAGGAAAGGAAGACAACATGAAAACCGCAGCACAACCACGTGAGGACTGATGGCTAAAGTGCTACTATCCCCAAGAACAGTTACCGGCAAGACAGACGGGAGTTTGGATTCAGCATGTCAGTGGATAGTGGACACTGTGCACATAGACAGTGAACATCAAGTATGTGTGTGAATGGCCTGAGGCAGTTCTGTGTTGGACTGTACCTAACAGTGTGATTGCATAGGCTGGCACAGTATTGCTGTAGTGAAGTTTAGATTGGACTGTAGCACACACTTAAAATAGATCTCTTCAAGATATGTTCATTCACATCTATTTCTGAATGCTAAATAGTTGATGATTCATTAGAGTTGATCACTAAGTTTATATTTAATTTTTTGTAGTTTCTGAAATCTAAAGGGAAAGACGTTTGTTCTGTCTCATAGAGTTGGAGGGCGGTAACTGCTTCATAAGGAAGCTTTCAGGTCCCAAAACACATAGGTACCAATGAATTATAGCTTCTGAAAGACAGAACAGATGGCCAAATACATGAGATGAGGGGCTGCCTTTATAACAGCGAGCTTTAAACAAATGGATTGGGCTGTAAATAATTACTGCATGAAGTGGCTTAAAATTTAATTTAGATAGTCTATTTTTAAGCAATAAAAAAAAATAATTTACATTGTTGAAAATATGTATAATTTACTGACCTAGGTTCCACAAATAATAGCATAAAATAACAATTTAGTCCATTGGCCATCTGTTTTGTTACATTATTCTGACTGCAAATGTGTTTTAATGCTGTTTCAGAAGGACGCAGGATGTAAATTTCAGCTTTGGAAGCATTTCTAAACAGCAGTATAAAGCTTATAGAGTAAAGACAGGTTTTATTTACTATTTTGTCTGGACTGTCCCTCATTCCCTTCCTCCTAGCCTACACATCTTTTTGTTGGCCCCTCTTCAATTTTACTGCTCTATAAAATCCCTTCATTTCTCTTTATAGTGTGCTACAGCTTATATTCCAAACTACTAGGCCTGAACTTCACATGATGTCTAAGACTGGATTTTGCCCTACAGCAGAATAAAGTCTGGCCATCTTCCTTTTCTATGATTATTTTCTCTAATTGGCCTTTCTTTTTTTCCTTTGTAAAAGCCTAACAATGTGATAGTTTTTATAACAGTTGGAATAGTCTTTAGAGCACAGGAAAAGTACTCCAATGAAACGGTGCTGGAATCTAAATCTTGTTCTTACCAACTAGATAGAGAACATACAAGCTTTTCCAGTAGTAATGCCTTTTTCACCATCACATGCCCAGGAACATGCAGAACTCCTGAGCTTTCTGAGGAAGAGATACATTTTAAATACTTGCTATAATGTTTGTGTTCTCTTCTTCAAATGCCAAACAGAAAACAGATCAGTTACGGCAAAATCTCAGTACTAGATGACAAAGTAATTAGTTATGGCTTCTAGTGATTTCATACCTTAAGGCAGGTTGAAATAGATATGATTATGTATTTATCTCTTTTATCTATTATATATTTATCTCATACTAAAATACTGTTGTTTACAGATTCATGACCTTGTTAAATTTTGAACTTTCAGGAGAATTAAAGTTGCATTTCCAAATTCAAGCAAGATGTTATTTCCAGCCTAGGACCAGAAGTCTTCTTGTTAAATTAATAAGGCAGAAAACAGTGTATAAGAACTTAACAGATGGCTCTCCCTAGTGCTGGCCATCTCAAGCAGGGACTTAGACTGACACTTCCTTTGAGAGAGGGATTTTTACAGTAGGGTATTTTATAAGCATGTCATCAAATCCCACTGTACAACTGTCTAGTAAACAGACATACAATACCAAAACCCTTGTAACTTCAGAAGAAATCAGACAGGTCTGAGGTACTAAAAAACACAAGCTTTAGGTAGTCTCTCAAGTAGTAACTGAAGACCTGATTCTGCTTGTAGAATATCCTGACTCAGCTGGGACTGAAGCTGTTGTCTCACAACACCTATGCCACGTCTGCTGAACTGCCCTTACTATAATGCAAGATTTCAGTTTGCACCTGCAATTGGTAACTCATTTGCTTGTAGCCCATGTGCACCTGAACTAACATGCTCACGCTTCTGAAAGCATACCAGCTGTTTTATCCCCATTACACAACTTCCATGATAAATTCCAAGTTACGAGTTAATTCTTACAATGCTCACTTAGGTCTTACTTCTGAGGACTTTCAGACATGGAAGAAAAGCATGCTGGAAATGTAATATGTAAGTACTTACTAGAAATAGGAAAAGAGAGTCATTAATACAAATCATGTAGTAGTTTCTATGATCTTCTGAGATCATCACAAACGAACATTCTGCAGCCACCAGAAAAAATGGAATAGTAAAAGGTGTCTGCCCAAATAACTTCCATTTCCAGTACATTTATTTTTTTCCTAGGAAGCATTTGATACTAAGCAGCACCCTACTTTGGCAGGTATGAAATAAACCTGTTATTAATTTTCATTACTGATGGCAAAAAAATTGAACGTGTCATTCATTCATTAATCATTTCAGAATTAAATAACCAAACACAGATCTTATCTTAGATTGCTTTTTTGAAAGGATGTAAGAATAAATGAAAGTCTGTTCTAGCACCATTACAAGGAAGTGTATGTGGAGTCAAGAATAATGACTGACAACCCCAGTAGATCAGAATGGTTCTTCAATCTCAGGTCTGTCTTGTTAATTTAACAGGATTAATAAAATTACATTGCCGTTTAAAAAAATAAATAAAGCAAAAACCCCTGTCAGTTCAAGAGAAGAAAACTTTAATTACTAACACTTGAAGAAATAGATATTTTAGGCTTGTGTTCACTAGCTTTCAAACATGGACATAAAATGTTGACACACATTTCCAGTAATAAAAGGCGATTTCAGATTCACTGTAACCTCACAGGAAAACCTTACCGCCAAGATGCAATTACCTCCAGAATTGCAGCAGACATCCCCTCTGAAATGGAGCTGTTCACCACAGCAAAGCACCTTTTCATAGCAGCATGAAGATCATCTTGGGGCATCTCCTGTAATAAGTGTACCCCAGGTGCCCTAGAAATAAAATGCACACAAATAGGGCTCCTGATAAGAACCTGCTCCAACAATTTTTCCTAAAACTTATGGCACTGAAGGAAGGTGGTCAAAGCAACTCAGGCTTGGTTCTGGTGTTAAGATTCACTTGCCACTTCACCGTGTTCTGGTTAGCTTTCTGTTGATAAATGTGGTTATAAATTCAGTACAGTATACACTGCTGTCAGTCACTATCAGTTGCTATCAGTCACTGCTATAAGCCTGTTGTTCTTGAGTTTTAGTTTTGATCAATTACACCTTGCTCTGTTAATCACTGTAAGTACTTAAATGAAGCAGCTGAGTTCAACGGATAGGGGTGTGATTTTCCCTTAAAGAATTTATGCAATATAGGAAGGATGCATGCAGAGACTTCAATACTTATACACAGTTTAAGTACTTAAGAAATGGAGCACAATCAGAATGGTCAACTGCAGGAGATGCTGACTTTTCAGCTGCTGGTTTTGGGGGATGGAATGTGGTTCTGAAAGATCTCTTCTGGTTCCTCTTTCATTATAAGTACTTTTCTATTCTGATTGGTTAAATTTCTCCTGTTTCATCTTCCTCTGATTAATCAAGGCCAACTGAATCAAGGGTGAAGTGTTAAAAAAGATGGAAACTATGGGTGCAGTCTCAGATCTTTCAGACTGGTGATCGTGTTTGAAAAGCCAGCATCTCCTCCAGTTGATGAGCCTGCTCCTGCATGGCTCTCAACATGAGATCACTAAGCCAGATAGAAACACAAGTGCATTTGACATTAAGGCTAGCTCCCTGTCAAGCAGACTTTGTTAAACATTGCTTTTCTGATTGTATTTTAACAACCAGCTTCTATAGAGATAAATAACTGTATCAACTGGAGTACAAATGCATGATGGCAGGAGTCATGTTTCCCATGAATAACCTGATAGAAAACAAAGATCATTATACTGGCTTCAATGGAATGGAAAACCACGCCCCTTACGCACATTTTATTATCAGATAGTATCAGCTATTACATGGTGGTTCTGTTCAACTCTGACAATTCTCAATTCTGCAGACACACACAAAGATCCAATTTCTCTAACATTTATATCCTTCAATCAGGAAGCATATAAACTAGGGACAGAATAAAAGCTGTACAGGGTTATCTTGTCCAGCTACTCATTCACCCACCAACAGCAAGCATGCAAAATCTTGCAGAAGCCAGGATGGAAGAAAGGAGAAGACTTAAAAGCATAACAAACATAAATCACACTAAACCACACAAAGCATGAGATCTACTGGGTATTCTGAAATTTAAAATGTATGGAATATCTAGTATGAGAACATTACATGCCAAGAAATTAGAACAATTCATTAGCCATAGAGTTGTGCATATATGTTCGTTTGTATTTATGAAAGAGCATTTAAGCACATGATTAAAAAGCTAGTCAGCCAAGTGCCTTCACTTGGAGCAGACAGAAGGCTTAGCATTAACTTCTTACCTTTTAACTTTTTCCTTAACTTCACTGGTAAAAAGGGGATCAACCTAGGAAGGAATACACACAAAGGTATATGGCACTACTTTAGCACTACAGCATGTTTGAATACCCAGAAAAGAAAAATAAATTTTAGCACATTTTTTACTAAAATAAAGACATGAATGTGCTGAGCTTTGAAATCCTACCACGATGGTGTTTACATTTGACCCTTCAGACAAGCACTCTTGTGAGTGATTGACACTCAGAATACCCAGCTAGGGGGGTTGAGTGCACAGCATAGCAGAGCATGAATTGACTACTCCACTCTAAACCTTTAAATGACTCCTCTAATGCAGCATAGCTTTGGGCTGCTGTCAGAAGAGGAGGTTCCCTTTCTTCTCCCTTGACATCTCTCTGGCTGCAGGTTCTAATTAGTGCTAGATCTATTTAACATGAATGACTGTTTTCAGATGACTCTGCTAAGGCTAACAGTACTCAAATGACCGATTTGACAACTTACTGTCTAAGTGAGGAACAACGCACTGATGTGTAAGCAATTCTTTGGCACTTTGTGTATGGAGTAAGCAATGCGAGGAAGAACAGGAATTCTTCAGGCTTTAGTTAATACAGGAAGCAATCCGCATGTAAACTGGGACAGGCAGAGAGATGTTATGCACTGACAGAACCGCTTGTTTGAGAATGAACAAACACAAAACTCTAAAATACAGTCTAACATGACGGTATGTCAGAGTTATTAAAATGTTGTCTAAGCTGAGCAATTAGCTCCAGCAGTTTATTTGCAAAGCTTAGCTATGGCTGCGATTATCATTTAACAATTAAAAGAAATAAACAGAAGTTGAAAACCCTTAACTAGACATGAAGAACAGAAAGGGATTTTTTTTTTACTTTTAAGGCTGACTATATTAGATTAACTTATGGTAGCTTACACAGCATACAGCAGTTGTAAGCACTGGGAACAACGCGGCTTGGGGTTTTTAATGCATGCTTACATTTTGTTTGGGTTTTTTTCCACGTTCCAATATAAAGAACACTATCAAAGCATTTTAGAAAACAACTGGAAAAAGTCAGAGTTTGTTATAACCATGATTGTGTTTTTTGAACACAACATCAATTATTTCAAGGCTTTATAAATGAAATGATTCAAGTGAATCACTCTTGCACTAACGAATGCAAGAAATAAAAGGCCTGCATTACTACTTAGGAAAGTAGTTTTGGTAACAGCAGGGGAGAAAATCAAGTGCTCTTTGCTGATACTGATGACAGGGCATGATACAGATCTATCCATTAAACCAGGATGTCATGTCACAGGTTCCTTGGATATTTCACATTGAACTTAATTTCTGTACAAATACCTTTTCAGCGTTTTCCCCAAAGTGCTGTTGTGATGCTGAGGTCCTCTCATGAGAGCCTATACTCTGTTTCCATTAAAATCAATGGAATACTTGCAAGTGATATAATGAGCAGTGGTCCTTTGCTCTTCTACCTTTAAAAGGACAAGGAAAACTACAGCCTGTGATATTAATATTGCAAGATATTAATTTCTATCCCATCTACTTCAGTGGAAGCCAAGAAATTGCCATCTGCCTCATACACAGAACAGTCCTTTAAGCTGTATTCTTCTATAGGTAAATATTCCAAGAAGCCAGGCCTGAATATGAGAATTCAGATAAAGTATTACTTTCAGGATGGGTGTAGCAATGACTTAAGAGAAGTGATCCCCTGAGCTACATTTAGGAACTTGAGGGGGCACAGTTATCCAACCACAGGCTCAATATAACAGAAATTAGATGCAACATAAGCTGTTCGGTAAGTTGGAAATGCACTTAAAAGATGTGAATGCTTGCAAAGCCAACACACTATGGCAGGATGCCTAGGAACTTAGCATAGTCTCAGAAAAAGGTACTGGAACTAAAAGAATATTACTTTCACCCAAAACGTCTCCATGATCCAGTTCTTCTACAGGTAGAGTGTTTGTTGGCACATTTTATGTTATTACCTGTCCATGTAGCAGGCAGATATCGACTTTTGTTAAGATACCATCCATCCAGAGGAAGAGCCTTTAAGGAGCTGCAAATTTCATCAGTTTAGCAGAGATCAGAGGAAAGCAACTTGCGTGTACGAATATCAGAGCAGATGAGGTAAACTGACACATGGAAAGGGGAGTGGGCACATGGCAAGAAACCATACCTAGCAGGACCAGATGCACTGCTAGAGAAGTTCTACTCTGCTGACAGGCAAAGAAATATCTGAGACGTGTCTGATAGTGCAGAAAGTCACAAATCAAAACCCTGCACAAAGATGAAGGTGCCTGTTAAGCACAGAGCCTACCATTATCAAAATCTAGGAAATCTTCTATAAACACACTATATTAAATTGCTGCCATGTAAGAATTAACTCAGACAGAAGCAATGGTCCAGAAACATATTCATTAGAATGCTGGGATGACTCTAGACTTTGAAGGGAAAACCAGGTATTAGTACATTTAAAGTTCTGTCAGAATATCATCCAGAGCACTAAAGAATGAAAAGCTGTATCTGCAACCATATTCAATACAGATAGGAAGAATTTGCTCAATTGCTCCGGACTGTGAGGTTTTGACAGCGTCACTGTGAAAGGAAACACTTTATTCACAGCAGCAGGTGACAGACACCACATTACAATTCTTATCTGACTGATTACTTGAATAGGCTCAGCAAGACCAAGCTTTGCCTACAACTGAAAACACAAGCACTGTCTGCGACGCAACGCAATCTGGCTGCAGTGATTGCACCAGAAATGTAAGATCCTTGCAAACACACTAAACTCAACCATTCTACATCATCTTTTCCATACACCAAATGCTTAAGGAAATTCACTGTCTTCTGGCTTGCTTCCCCCCCCCCCCCCCCATTTTAATTCAGCCAAAACATCTGGGATCTAGGATCTAAATAAACAAAACTTTGGGTCTAAAAGAAAAATATACAACCTCTTTAAGATACTGGAACAGCTCATTTCACCATTTCTAACAAACCTGTCATTTTCAGGAAGCTTTTCTTGCAGAACGAGCAAACAAAGGGTTAGAAGAGTTGTCATCTTACCTTTTAAAACATCTGTGAGTAGGACACTTAAGGCAGGATGTACCTGGCAGAATTTCATAGTCCTCAGCAGGCTAAAGAATCTGAAATTGTATCTTTGTCTCCTAGCTGGTTTTCTCAGTTATTGTGCTTGAGGATATTCTGAAGCAGGTTATTATTAGACTTCCTCTAGTTGCTTAGGTAAGTTGTGTTCAACAGCTGGTTCATTTTAGAACTAGCCCACAAAACAGAATAGGTAACAGCAATCCACTATAAAGAGATAGGTCCCACTATCTGTGGAGGCAAGTTATTCAACTAAAACTGTCTCAGTAGGTATGAAAAGAAGTTGGACAGAGGAAAAACAGCTGTCAATGGAATACAGTATCATTACAAACATAGCAATATTCTGTACTATCCACAAGAGTGGTTAAGAATTACAAAGTGAGTACAAAGTGGCCTTCCAGAGGTTGCATGCTGAAGGGAAGTTTTGTGGCCTTAAAGTTTCATAAGATTCTATTCTTGGAATATGGAGCTGCTGAAAATTAGCCACTGTTTTGAATTTCATTATAGAAATTAATAAAAAGAAAACTGGAAGAAAAATGCTAAAAATTTTACACCATACAGGAGCCAACCCTGCAACATGATTTAGATTGCACCATTTGTGACAACTGTGCATGGTAAATGCACTGAAAGGCTATATAATCTTATGAAAGCAAAGCACAGAACAGTGCGTGCTCCTTTGTTCTTTATATTCTTAATTATTATAATCTTAATTTTTTTTCATATCCGCAATAAATGTAACTTGCTTCACAGATAATGGTACTGGTAGTTTTAAGGTTTTGTATTTGAGCAGCAACATGAATAAGAAGAGTACAGATAAATACCAACAGAGCTGAGAGTTATTTTTGTCCTTCAGCAATATTTTAGTACTATGGCAGAAATATGTTATAAACTGTTTTGAGGAGGTTCAGTCCTATGCACTGCTACAGGGTTATTTCTGGTGGCTTACTGTAAAGATGTTAGCTTATGAAGAAGTGAAGCAAATGTAAAAAGACGACCAAAATGTTTAAAATCCTCACTGGAGGCAGCAAGCGCATCTTTTGATTTAAAGCACAGCTTCATTACACCTGCTCTAGATTTGCCTTCCACACCAGTTCACTTCCACATCATCTTGCGTTTTAGCATGGAAAAAAAAATGCAGACAAAAATGCAAAAAACAGCTTTTAAAAAGAAAAAAATATGTCCCCAAATATACAAAGAACAAAACTGAACGAGAAAATAGAAAAACAGTTCTTATTTGCCAATTCAGATTCTATTTATTTTCCCACAAAACAGACTGCCTACAAGTTTACAGGCTCATGTGAAGACGAATCAGAGAGGAGACTCAGAGGGACACGAACACATTACCCAGATGCAACAGTGAAGCTTTTAGTACCCTTTTAGCATCAGCTAGAGTTTGTCTGGTATGACACTGCTGCCTACTCATACCTTTCCGCTGGTTAAATTAAGGCTACAGGCTGCCTTCTCAAGACTTCTGCTATGGCTATGTATTTAGTACATGTATATTTCTTTTGAGAAGTGCTGCCATTAGTTTTCTTAGTTTAAAGTATGCTCTCTTGGCATAGGCAACACACTAGAAGCAGAAACAGCAGGACAGTCTCCCTGCAGCTCCACCTGGTCCCTCTGCCAGGCTATGGGAAGCTGTGGGAATGAACGTGATTTAAGCACAGAATTAGGAGAAGCACTTTGGTGGCTCTGAGGCATCTTTCCTCCTCTCCCTCACCAATTTACAGATTAATTCATAATAATGACTGCGATGGTCATCATTATAAACCCTTTTAGGCACTAGTGCATCACGAAAAGCAAACCATTGCTGAGAAATTCATGACAGCATTTTGAGGCAGCAGCCCAACTGTGCGCTTTATCTAAAGGGAGTTCGCAATCACAGAGGAGCTGCCACTTAACTGACCGACCGTGAAAAGAGAGAATTAGAATTTGTAACTTCTAGATTTGTTAAACAAGAGCTCTGTGACTTGCTGGGAAAAAGTGAAGTCTCACATTAATATTGGCCAGCACTTTTACTAAGATACATATAATTCATTTGAAGGAATGCTACCAACTCTAAGCTTAATCTGAGATGTGAATATACAAGAACAACCCAGTTTCTAATTTTATTTATTTTAGTCAGCACCACCTTCCCTCTCAGGTATATGTAAACCAGGCCTTAATGCACTCAGGTTCTAATTCTATTTGTCAGCCCAAGCTCTGTTCTTGCTCTCTGGTGTCAGACAGAAACCTAAGATCATTTTGCACCTGCTGACAACTGTTAACTGTGTACAAACTGAGACTACCAGAAATGCCATCAAAATCTAAATGGAACAGAACAAAGATGCAATCCTCCATGTGAATGAAAGATGTAAGAACAGGGATAATGAACATCTGATAGCACCTTCAGAGCATTACAATTCCTCATTAACAATACCTGCTAAAAAATCTTCGACAACTGTTGCCTTTCAAAATATTTGATAGGCTCATTTATAAATTATTCATATTGAAATAAGACTATTATTTTATTTGAAAGAGTTCACATTTTTAGTACTTTCTGTTACACTAAACAATTTTGTACTATCCCACACGTATATAAACCCACACCAGTATTAGAATCCAAATATTTTGATACCTTTTACCTACGAAAGTTCTTTCTGTAGTCAAATGGAACACAAAACATTTTGTTCTAAGAGACCATAATAGACTAACGGCATTATGAAGTCACATGCGTGAGCTAGACATAAAACTGCAGTAATCCAGTTGCAAATGCTTTTTACAAAATTAGCCCAAGCCTTCTAAACAAACAAAAAATAAAATCAGTGTGTGTAAACAAAATCTACACCTGCTGTAAACTCTTTTAGAGCTCCTGGTAACAGTCTGCATTAATAAAAACCTACCTGAATGGAGTTGGGCTACCTCACTGTGTATCCCCTTAGAAAAATCCTCTTGGCTGCTTTCCCTTTTGCAATGCAGATGCTGAGTGAGGGAGCCTATTAGCTGATAGCAGAACTCTGAACCTGGCAAGTCCAAGCACTGGAATTTCTTCTGTTTCTATAGTTCAGACCTGTTGTGATTAGCCTTTACAAGTGCTAGGTTTGTACTTTCTTATCTCTGCAACAGTTAGAAGGCCTCTGCCTTAGGTTCAGTTTGGAAAGAATTACTGCGGTTTGGAAAGAAGTATTGCAGTATCTCAGATGTGAGTAAACAGAGGTATTTAGGGATAAAAAGACAAATAAATAAAAATTACAGCAACTTACTGCAGGTCCAATTATGCCCAGATGGATGCTGGGTTCCTTTCTGTGCCAATCTAAACCAGAAGAAGAAAATTTATTAATCAAAATTATTAATGTTTAATTCTTTCTCTGAAATCAATGCAAACAGCTGCATGAATACCAAAGAATTAGGCAAATATTCTATTACTCCTTAAAAGACTGAATGTGTGCCATGCTCACACTCAGCCCTCATATTACTCCTCAGAATTCCAATGAAAAGTTAGTATTTAGCATTTCTACTTCATGCAATCTCTTGTGATTCAAGGGTCATTTAAATAAGCTCAGATATTAAATCTGAATCATCTCGAGAGAACAATGCTCTAAATAATGCAGTGGCTGTGGCTGCTGAGACAAAAATTATTTGAATTTTCTCCTATGTAAAGGTACATGTAGAAGCAACTCCAACCATTACAATTAATACTCAGTTATATGCAAAAGAGAAATCTGCTGCTTTTTCGATACCAAAATAGAACAAATCCAATTACTTTAATAAACCGTAATTTGTTCCTAAGTAAGTGCCACAAGGTGCTAAAGGCTTATAAAAGCAAGCTGAATAGTGGAGGCTGAATTTCTGGCTTGGAATATCTGAACCTTTTACAGACAAACAGAACCTGGCAGAACATTCATCTATGTGACTATGAGAAAACTCCAGCCTAATTTACAGTGTGGAGTCATAACGATGGGTGGTAAAATTTGCTTGTAACTTTAGTGATACTAATTAGCACACATGCAAATCAGTGTAACAGCCATGTGACAGGAAGATAAAGAAGTTATTTTGAAGGAGATGAACTCATCTTTTGTTTTCCATTAATATTATATGTAACAGCAAACCCCTTTTCCCAACAAGTACAATCATCAAGTATTGCTTTGATTTTGATGCTTTGTTATTCCCAGCAGGCTGGAAAAGATGCACTACAGAAATAATGTGTTGAACACATCAATGGTTACATGAGCATTTCTTTTTTTAAATGCAAATATATTACTACGTTTTCTGCAACGAATAAAACAACTTATGCCAAGCTGATAAACATTAGAAGAAACACATCTGAATCCAGTAACAAAACAAGGGTATTCAAATAGCTGGTACCTACCCGAAAAGACATCTACTAAATACAGGGGGTCTTTGACTCTTCGAAGTCCACATATCAAGAGAAAAACATGTAAACTGTCTGTATCTGTAGGAATACCTGCAACAAATAACTTTAATAGTCCAAATGCAGATAAAAAAGCTGAACACTCCAAACTGTTTCATGAATGAGCACATACCACAGTAAAAACCATAACAGGGTGCATTCTGAAAAATCTTCCTTATTATTCCCTCTGTTTCATGCTGTTGCATCAATCCTCAGATCAACTCAGTGGAGAACTTAATCATGCGTATCATTTTACAGGGCACACGAGTTTACTTCCAGAGGCAACGTGCAGGATTTGGACAAAAAAAAATGATGGCTGTTATTCTGGAATACCAGAACCCAGCTTTGACTGACTAGGTTAACTGTACAAATCCGTGTGTTTCTCAGTATTTCTACCCATAAGAAGTGTAAAACTGCATCCATATAACTCAGCACCTATTTCAAGGATATTGTGAGGTTTAGTTAATCAATGGCTGCAGGGATTAGAGCTGGTAATCTGACACTTTTTATTATAGAAGATCAGGTAAATGTCCCATAGGTATCTATCCCTAATATAAACCTATGCAGAAAACAGAATAGTTAACGATAATTTACATTATTGGAAAGCATTTATACTAACCTCATTGCTATGAAACACAAATGAAAAATTATTTTGGGGGAAAAAAACCTCAACATACAAGTTTTTAATGTTAAAAATCTTGTAAATACACAGCAACAACCCACAAAAAATAATTTTGTAGGCTATATTAGAAAAAGGTCTGATGTATGATACTGCAGTTGCCATGGGCTCTATGACAGCACAATTAATTCAGAACACACTTCTGGAGAAGGGTCACTATGTGATGGACTTCTAAAATGTGCTTATAATAACCCAACATAATCCACAAATTGCTGAATGAACACACATAACAACAACATAATTTAATAAACACTAGAAGGCTGGAATGTTCACATTTGATTTACTGTACTGCACAAATCAGTTTGCTGTCCTTCAGTTCACCTATTTATTGAGCTCATGGCAAGGATAGATGACACTTATTATCTAACATTAGGCAGTTCAACAAGGAGCAGAAAACTGCTGCTCATCAGCAGCAGGCTGTTTGTGGGACATTAATGCATCGGTCCCATACAGGGAGATGTCACACAGGTATCAGGAGGGCTATGCTGTATGGTCGGAATGACTGTCTGTGAGATTTATGATCACCAGGAAGGCCACAAGGACAACTGTGGTGGCACAGTGACCTGCTGCTGCTGAACACTGCAAAGCTCCCTTCCCTGAGGTCTCCTCCTCCCTTTCCCTTCCACTTTTCAGCAGCTGCAGGAATAACTCAGCTGCTTACACAGCATCACTGAACTGATGCAGTTTGTAATTTAAGATCACTCAAACTTCGTAGCATCTTATGTTTCCTTATGGTGTTGTGTAACTTAATGACAGGGTCAGCCCTGGAAGACATGCCAGGAGTATCTCCCCTCATGTCAAGGAATTGTATTAACAGGAGTTCTGCATCAAACCTGTATTTTGTGGGAGAGGGAGAATCAAAAAACTCATTACATACTCAAACGTTATTGCTTTTAAAATTAAAATTCATTTCAGGGACTTCTAAATGCTCCCTGTCACAGGGTTCATTACTGAGTCTATTTCATTTAACTTAAACAGCTTGAGTCGTTGAGAGCGGCTGCAGCAGACATGGTAAGTAATACTTTTCTGGCTATTGGACCAAGAAATAATTTGTAATTTCTAATACACAAACATCTGGATTAAAAAAGGCATTCTTCTGGTGCAATGGACCATTAACAGTTTGTTTTTAAGACATGGGGCACTGGTTTCAATTTACAACATAAATCACACAAAACAAATTACTAGAAAGTGTCATCAAAATTCAGATCACGTTTTATCTATCCATATGGTACAAATATTCATTTTACACCATGAACTCCCATCTATCAATGTTCTGCTCTGGCTGTTTTGGAACAACCTTACAGTTAGCACCGAAAAGGTAGTCAGAAAGTAGTGAGAAAACACGTCTTCCTGTTCTCACACAGACTATAGGATTACTGCTCTCTCAATACGACAGTACCCTAACCACAGAATCACAGAATCATAAGCAGGTTTGGGTTGTAAGGGACCTTAAAGATCATCTAGTTCCAAGTGTCCTGCTACAGGCAGGGACACCTAATCAACATTAAATACACCTGAAATAAACTTTCTTCTCCCTTAACATCATTTTGTTTCTGTCTTACGGCTTTCAGTCTCTTCATCTTATTAGATGAGGGTTAAAAGTGTTGTGACAATGAAAAGCCCTAAGAGACCAATTCTGGGCAGTACTGACTGCCATTCTGCTCCCTGTACAAAAACCTTAACCCAAAACAGAAACCAGCAACTGGCCCCACAGATGGCAATTGTACTTTGTAATTGGGATATTGCCATTCAGTTCATGTGGCATTTATAGGTACTTCTCCCAAGCATCTCATCAGCAAGAATCCTATTATTTCACTAGTGAAATTACCTAAAATATTAGTTATTAATGAAAATAGTCCACTCATCTGACAGTTATTTTGAAAATACATTCACAACCTGGAACTCTCACCGCAGACCACCCCCTTCATGCAACTTTACAAAGCACTACCGTATCACAAAACTCTGTGTACTTTTCTCCAAAATAGCAGATACTGGATACACTGTTCTAGAGACTGGATTCTACATGGCATTTCTAAAGCCTATCATAAAAGGGCTAGGTTTGCTTTTGCAATCCAATTTAGTGAAGTACGAATCAGGTGGTTTTATTTTACTGTATGTTTTACATCTTAGTCATCACCTAGTTCATTTTTGCAGGCAGACTTTCCCCACTCCATCCACTTAGAAGCTTATAAAGACATTCCTGAGAAGACTGCCTTCCCAGCACATCACTGCCACTGCTTAGTGCTGGGAGTTTACTCATTCTCTGTCTACTTAAGATCAAACTTCAGCAGCACTTGCATATCTTATTAGCTTTCTGCTCATTTACTGAAAATGGTTAAATGCATGCATCAAGACAATGCCTTGTTTCCCAACCTATTGCTTTCTCAAGCCTTGCTAGCACACCTGCTGTGAAAAAAAAGACACATCATTTGTACAAGAGAACAATCATTTTAGTATGCTTTTTCCTCACAAGAACACTGACAAGGGGAACATACAAAGAGAATAACTGCAGTAGTTGCCTCTACCAACTACAGCCATCAGCTGGATGAAAACTGGAGAAGACAGTTCTTCTTTTTCCTAGAGCTTACAAGACTTTTGATATGTGAATTTTTACTGTCATTCTGCCTTTCCCAGATAGGCTACTTCATACACTACTGCCTTGTGTGATTCAGTTCTGAAATGGAAATACATGAATACGGCACAATCAAGGGGTTCGTTCTTCTGACACATTCACTATGACTCCATCTTGTCTGACATGCAAACACCCAAATAACAAAAAAAAAAAAAGCAGCTTGTGTCTGTTTCTCCTATTTCTGTTAGTGTTACAAAAGCAGAGATTTGAAACCCCACACTGTGCTTAATTTTCTCGTAGTTCATACATCCTTCCGCGTGCTTTGCAAAGAAAATACAAAATGGAAAGATCTGTACATAATCACTGGCTATAAAAAAGAGAAAGACTGCATGGTACATGTTCTCCAGCCACCCTTCAGAATCACTACACACTAAATGCAAATCAAGTCTTGCCACTGTAATCAACATCTCCTTCAGTGTCAAAACCAATTGTTTAATGCTGGTAAGAGATGTTCCTTTACACATACATTGTCAGTACTTGTCTATTGCTGTAGTCTGATTTGTTACATTGGCTTTATCTATAAAAACCAGCTGCACATTGGCCACAGCTAGTCTTGAGCCTGCAGGGCACCTGTTTAGCAATATGTGAAAGGTCAAAACAAGAACAGAGATCAATGGGGTTACGAAAACTCATTCCTCTCATCAACTTGATGTTATGCTGGCCTCATATGCCATACAGAACTATGGGGATGGTAACAAATAAACTGCAGGTGAGCTGAAATGAGACAGGCACAGTGGAAGATTAAAATTGACACGGAACTCCCACGGTCATGCAACTCCTTTTTCATGATGGAGCAGAGGTGGTATTATGCTGCTCAAAATTGAAACACAGCAATTTAGCACGTCAAATTTCAGAGAGGAATTGCATGATCAAAAGGGTATCCCAGTGCTGTTCCAATGTATTTGTTGATAGTACTGGAACCTGGCACAAAATATACTGGTGAATAGACAAAATGTGATTAATACTCAGGATTCATGTTCTCCTGCTGGCTATGACTGAGTCATGGCATGGCCCAGAAGTTTGTCAAATCTAGACTTACCCATCATCTGCAAGCATGCAGTAACAGCACTGGGTTTAATTTTTAGCAAACTGTTTTCAGGTCTTCAGTTGCAGGACAGAATGAGAGAATGGAGTATGTGAAACATGGTAAACATTTTCATAATGCAACACTGGAAATAAGCAGTTGGCTGTTTTAAGATTTCACTGTCTCCTAGTTTGTGCCTTATCTGAAACTGTTTAACTGTTTGTCACATCAACTATTTTACTACCATGACACACTATGATAGTTTATACTTTGGCCTTTATTAAAATCTGTACTTTGATGCCAGGATAGCAAAACATGAACACAAGTAACGGAAAACCCCAAATCATTTCTGCAACATTAGGAAGGACACTGTTTTTCTAAGAAAGGCAAGAATAAGTAGCAGTGTTATCTAACCAGATTCTGAAAGACTAAATTCATTTAACTCCACTCCCCGTGGTACTATCAGGGAAAAAAATGTAGTAATCACAGATGTACAGTAAAAATAAATACATTACTGCAAATCCTTAATCTTCCTGAAAAGCTGCAAGCCTCTAAGTGAGAAATATCAACCATTACCTTGCTGAGAGGTAAAGAACCTGGCATGTATTTTTGATACTCTAAATCTTTCCATTCACAGTTATGCTTCACGTTCACCTCCCTACACACAGCAGAAATACCATCACTCGCACTTCAAGTCTCTTGGCATCAAGAGTTTGACCTTGTGTCTCTTTCACAAGCCAACTATTAAAAACAAGCTGCCCAGACCAGCCAAGTTTTCCAGCTTGTTTGACATGGTTTCCTTAATTGAAGTTACTGATGACACAGAACTTCAACAATTATTAGCCTAATTAGGTCTTATTTCAGAAATACACTTAGCCACCTGCAGATCTTGAACATTTATTACCATTTTATGAAGTTGAGCTTTTATTTTACAAAGCAATTTGTTTCATAGAAATTAAGGAGAAGTGAAGGTAATAACTGTATCTAAAGCATTTATCCTGCCATTCACATTCAACAATGAATAACTGCTAGAATTGCTGAGATGGTTCTGAAGACAACAGAAATTATATGAACCTGTTAACTTCCAGGAGCAGGCTACTAATGCAGAGAAATCAGATTGCAAAATTCTCCAGAAATCCTTCTTCTCCCCTGTTTCTCATTACTTCTAACAGATCAGACAACAAAAATGCTCTATGCTTTCAGATCTGCTGGGGAACACAGCTTACTGCTGCTATGATATTATTTCTATGGTCAACTATATATCTGCACAAACCTTTACTATTTAATTTTTCTTATGTGGTTATTTCCAGCATAACTTTAGGAAAACATAACGGCTCTGTAAAACCCTGTCCGTATTATTACAGGTTATGTAAACTTTTCAAACTCTGAAAATAGCCATGCTAGGAAGCAGATATTATCTGAGAGTAGAAAAATCAAACTACAAAAGTATATTGCATGTCTTATTTGACAGTGCAGTAAGCATCTGATCCTGTGATTCTATGTCATCTTCCAGGAAACCAGTTTTTAGTCTTATCTGTTGGGTAAAAGAGCTTTCTCAGTTCATTAGCATAGATGTTATTAGCTATCTACATCTTCTAATCACATGATGTCTTAAGTGTTTATTAGGTTTTACATCTCACGAGCTTCAGCCACATTCCACTGAAATCAAAAGGAGCCTTTCATCACAGTATGATGACATCAAGCCTGCCTGTGATCCTAACTAGCTATGCTCAATCCCTAAGCTAAATTGTTAAGACAAGATCAGTCCCGGTTTTAGTGTTTACTTAGACTGTCTTGTAATTTTTTGTCAATCAATTTACAGCAAAAGCCTGAACTTTCATTGTCTCTCTCAAGTCTAAACAGGCTTCTAAAATGGCTAAGAAAACTGATGGTGTTCTATTACAGACTCCTGTATTACAAGGTCAGAGAAAAACATTTTGATCATGTGGTCTGACCTCCAGACTGACACAGGCTGCAACACTACCCTAAACAGCCTGAGTTACTAAATATACTGAAAACATTGTCTTCTTGGAAGTCTGTGTTGAAATCTGTGCTTGGTTCAACTTCTGGGTTTGACTACAGTCTCTCATCCTCATAGGACAAACTGTGAAGCTGGCTGTTAATCAGAATGCAGAATCAGAATGCAGATTAACTTTAAACACTGTTTTTTGTAGATTTAGTCAATAAATATTTTAACAGCCAGCCACTGAAAATACTGCAGCTAGAAGCTAACACATGCACACTACACAAACATCACCTGTGCAACTCTCAAGTCTGCTAATGAGGCTGCGAAGAAATACTAATTCCAGGATTTTTGTACTAAGATTGTACTGTACCCATAACAATAACATTTCACAGCACTCTTTCAGTTTCTCTTAGGCTACTGCTATTTACGTTAGCAACCCAAACGATGAGATTAAATGTCCAAAAAGCTGAGATTTCTTAGCTTTTTGTTTAGTACCATTCACATTTGGGGGCTGGAGGTGGGGGGAAGCCTCCCACAATGAAATGTATTTGATGTAGTCTGCCATTCACTTAAATTTACCATTAAATTCTTTCTGAAGCCATTACACTGACTTGGAGACTATTTATGTACTGGGTATATTTAACATGAGTCAGATGATAAGGCTTTTCTATGACTAAAAAAAAATATAAATCAGTACAAAGAATATTCATAAGAAGTCTGTTCTATGAAGAAGGTCTTGAAATATTCTGAACAGCCTATTTTATTTTAAAGAATAACCTGACAATGTATGGTCTGACCACCAAGGATGTTTAACACTCATGCCTCAAATGTATTATAATTTGCACTGTAGGGCATGTCCTGTTTCTTTACATTCAGTCTTGGGAATCCTGAATTTGAAAAATTTCCAAGGACACTACTAAAGATACAGGCAAGAATTATCTGGTTAAATATTTCCCACAAAAATCATTAAATGTCTTTTAAATATGGAACAGAACTTCATCAAAAAAACCTTAAAAAAAATCATAAAAGCCAAAAGGTGAACGAGATCGGACAGCTTTATCTGCATGAAAGCTAGGAATCTTTTCAAGTGCACTTCATTGTGCAAACCTACACTATCAAAATCATATTCTTCTGAGCAAAACCGCCTTCTATTTTTGATGTTTTTTTCCTGATTTCTCCAAGTTTAGTAGAATTTTTAAGACTTTGAAACTGGAAATACCCAGAAAAGCAATTCAATGGGAAATCCTTATAAACTCCAATTAGGAGTCATCCACTCTGGCTCCTAACTGGTACAGCCAAAAAACCTACCTCCTTGGGCAAAATTAAAAGAAGTGGAAATTGTAGGCTGCCACATGGATACAGAGACAAAACTGATGGGATGAAACAGTCATAAAAAAATAATACTGAAAAATCTAATTCCAGTTTTCAAGTTATTACTTAACAGGCACAGATGTCAGAGTCACATTTTAGTTTGCTTTTCATGTACATTATGAATTATTTTGCACTTTTGCATTAGTACACATTAGGCAAAATACTGTCTCTAATACATTAGATGAAATGCACTTTAGGGGGAGCTTCCCCCTCTTCAATCTGTTGACTGATATTTTAATCATAAAGTGGTTGGACACGAGATCCAATCAACACTGAGGCTGTGCTAGCAAGTGACAAATCTTTTCACTTCAGAAAATTATTAATCTTGGTGCTGTGCTTGCGTGCCATGATTTACTGAGAACAAAATAATGTCACAAAGCTGAGTTTAAAATTGGGCACCAGTTTTGAATAATGGCACACATTTACTGATGTGATAAAGCAATTGACAAGTAAGGATTCATTTGTAACAGAGGGAACAGCTGTACTATCAGAGATCAGACTGATGAACATAATATTGAAATATTTTTACCACAGTAAAATGCCTACGAATTCTTCTTTAGGGAAAAGGCAGCTGGAACGATTAAAGCATTGCCAAGACCAGGTGTCTTTAAATTAGGTCATCTACCTTACATGCTGTTACTTTGGTGAAAACTGAAAAGGGCTCTAGGTCAAGACCATATATTAAAACATCAACACGTATTTCCTTTCTTCATCACTTCTTCGCCTCACCAGCTCTTCTGCAAAAGACATCCAGAGTTTCTATCACACAACTTTAATGCACAGTGTGCTCAGGTGCTGGTGCTTCGGTCTAACTTACTTTCTAAGAGACAGTGACCCATAGGTCATGATGATTTTATCTTTTGGTGCTATTCAGACCAGAAATGTGGAGACAGCCCATGTAGTTTACTAACCAGACTAATCCGATTGATATTCTGCCTGAATCTAATGGAAGATTTTTTTCACTTTTCTTATCATTAAGTCATTTTACAACCTAATCAGTTGCCCTTCACATTGTAAAATTCTTTCATCATTGGCATCTACCGAGAATAAATATAATGAGCACAGAAAAAAAAATGAGTTTTACCTGCATTTTGTAGAAGTCTATACCAGTCAAATGTTTCCTTGGGTGTAGTCTTAATTCCTGTGTAGACAAAATGAGAAACACAACATGTTTAATTGGTCCCTGGATGGCTGAACTATGGCTCTTGAAGTGTTGCCCTGAGAAAACAGTATTTCTGTCAAGCACACTGAATTCCATACACAGCTGTTCTCATCTCAAACTTTCCCCATCCCAACAGGGTCACGTTGCCTGCACAATGCTTCTGTAGTCATCAAACTGAAATTCAATTGAAAATTTTGCCCAATCACACAACACATGAAATTCTTTAGCAATCCAGGGAATTAAGCTCACTTATACCTCGCTAGTATTTGGCCTTTTAAAATCTATACAGGGGATAGTATTATCTAAGGGGACATATTCCAAAACAGATACAGGTCAGCTGAGATAGACTCTTCATTAGGGACTGTAGTGACAGGACAATGGGTAACGCGTTAAAACTTAGATCCAATCTAAACTTCCCCTGTTTAAGGAGGAAATTCTTTCCTATTAGGGTGGTGAGGCACTGGAATGGGTTGCCCAGGGAGGTTGTGAATGCTCCATCCCTGGCGGTGTTCAAGGCCAGGCTGGACAGAACCTTGGGTGACATGGTTTAGTGTGAGGTGTCCCTGCTCGTGGCAGGGAGGTTGGAACTAGATGATCTTAAGGTCCTTTCCAACCCTAACTATTCTATGATTCTAAGTCCTTAACATAAGGCAAAGATAGCAAATTAAAATTATATAAAATTACATAAATATTAATTTAAACTGAATGTTAATTTATTTGGTTTGCCTCATAGAATCATAGAATAATTAGGGTTGGAAAGGACCTTAAGATCAATTATTTTACTAATGAAACTATTATTTTTTAAATATCTTAGCTATTGCCTCCCAATGGTCTTAAATATAGACTAAATATGGACTAAACAGACCTCATAATGAGCTTTTCAACATAGTAGTTCTGAAAACAATTTTATTTTCTTTGAAAATTAAATATACCAAATGAGCTTTGGAATCTGTAGATCAATCGGGAGCTGTAGCTTAAGCAATCACATCTAAAATGCTGAGTTGAGTGTCCCGAGACTACTCAAGTACTTTGGATAAGATACTTGTTGGGCATCATTATGCTGGGAACTCCACGCATTAAAAGGAATTTAGTTTCAGAGAATAATCATACTGCATCAAAACTTCCATATACTTTGAAGAAAGTTCGGTGCTCCCCTAGATATGACCTTATCTTTCAGATTGCTACTGTAAGGAATCTGAGGAAGCTTTTTTTGAAAAGAACAAAAAGCTGAAAATTTAGGCTAAGAGACTGCAATACTGCCCCAATTAATGTAAATGGCAAAAAGCTCAACTTCAGTGGAATCAGGACTTCAAATCCCATACCCATTTCAGCAAAATATTTCCTGTGTAAAAATAAACTAACAAACTGAATGCCTTAGTCAATATTTCAAAACTCTCACCTTGAGTCTGGACATATATTTTCTTCCTAGCATCTGGCTTTAAAGAGAAGGAGAAGAAAAGTAACTTTCTTAGTTCACTATAAAATATCAACCTTCAAAAAACCCCAACTGGTCTAACACAATGCACATCAGTGTGGTTTTCTTTTGACTATTAAAAATCAAAATAGACAACTGGAGAGATACACTTAATGTACACCAAAACCCAGCAATGCAGATTACATTTACAGTGAACATTTACAGTATCAATGAATCAATTTTGCAATTAACACAATTACAAAGTTGTGCAAATGTATTTTTAATTTATCTCTGTATCCTTCATCAAAATCATTAACTGCTTATTGCATAGGAAATTAAAATATCGCCCTAGAATAGAAAGATTTGCAACTACAGAACAGCCCTACTTCCCCAAAAATGTTATATCTTGAGAGGAAAACTATAGCTGGTTTTGAAACCACAGTCTATATTTATCCATAATAGAATTTTATACACATTGGGCATGAAACAAACCACATTTACCTCGAACCTTTTCAGAAATTGCTGATGGACTTGTTCACACAGGAAAACTGTCCAACAGTAGTTATTGCAGAATATCCCCAAATAAAAATTGCATAAGAAATTATTTGAAAATAGCTATTTTTAAAAAGTAATTACTTACAACTTCCAAAGCTACTCCCAAAGTGCTACTAAGCTAGTTATTTCATTTAAGTGATTAAATAAGCAAGTTCCTATTTCAGTCTCTTTCTACAACTCAAATCATGAATTTGGGAATACATTTTTTCCACAAAAACATCAAAGTATTCTTGAGAATGTTCTACATATGATAACAAAACCACAACAAATCCAAAACCAAAAACCCAACGCTCCCCAGCAAACAAGCAGAGGTTTTTTGAGCTCACAGTATTTGGGCAAAGCTTTGTGCTAGTTGCTCTAAAAAGCACTGGTTGCAATGCCTGTAAAGGAGTATGCTAAGGTATTACTCAACTGGTGTAATCTCCAACAGATTTGCTCAATATAACCTTGAATGTTTCAGTTTTGAACTATATTCTTGTAAGAATTTCAATTAATGCTATTGCTTCATTTTTTTTTAATTATATTGAACCTTTCAATCCTTATGCACCAGTTTCCCACTACTGAAATAAAACACTGACTGTAAGCACAAGGTCTTTTACAGTATTTCAAACTTACCTGGAACAAAGAACATCATAAATACTGCATTATGTAGTTCATAATTAAAGATAATTTATTCAATGTAATAGAAAAGGATTTGTCAGAAGATATAGCCCTTGAGCACAGTGAAATTGCTTACATGTTCATAATTTAAATTCTTAATTGACCATCTAACAAATAAAGCACACATTAAAGGAATAATGCAGTTCACATTAGTGTGAGTTAATATATAAAAACTGTTAATATTCTGTGACCTCAGTATGGAAAGATGCATTCTTATTCACTGTTTGAAAGTAAATGTGTGGCATTTGCTTTCACCCTTTACATGAAGATAACAGCTAGAAAAACAACACAAACCTCAGCATTTAAGACACAGATCAGCAGTTGGTATGTCAATTTAGGACTTGACAGACTTGCCTCCAATTGTCAGTCACCTACAGACCTTCTCCAAAACACCGAGAATAGGCCCAGAGCACAATGGTGTTTAGGTAAAAAACAATCAAAGTACTTAAAAACATTTGAGGTGCTGATTCAAAGGAATCTCAAAATCCAAGTTTGTTTTTCCTCCTCATACTCTGTTACTTTGTCTTTTTCTGGCATAAGACCTATGACGGAACCTGAGCCTTTCATGTTTACCCATCATGAAGTTAATGTTAGCAATTATTAAAACCAAGTTACATTTGTAATGTAAATACCAGATCCTGTGCCTGCTCAGGTATCCTTCTAATGCAAACAGACTAAAAAAATAATAATCAACTCATGCTGAAACAAAGTATTGAAAATTAATTTGAACTGTTGTACAAGCTCCACTCTGATTTTTTTTTTTTAGGCAACAGTCAGAACTGAAGAGATACCAAGCAGTTAGTTTCTACTTCTTGCATTTATTGTTCAGCTTCAGCTGCTGTTTCATAAGATGAGGTGAGTGGAGCTAACAACTGGTGGCAGCTTGCAAGAGGGTGGTCCTGCTTTGTTGTTTTTATCCCAGTGTGTTGCCCCTTACTGTCAGCCAAATAGTTACTGCTCGCCCTGCACTGGATCTGGTGCTCAGTGAAGTTCTCTATGAACCAGTTCAAGTTTTTAGCTAAGAAGTTAGTTAGAAAGCTAACCCTGCACAGAAAATCAGCAAGCCCTGCGGCCTCATGTGGAGTTTTTCACAGGTCACTAGTGCAGCCTGACACTACTGTCTTCAGAAACCAGAAACTAGGACTGAGCACTGTCTACTTCAAGGCTTTGTCTCAATTTTCTCCACTGGAAGTCTGCCATCAGCTTAACCATGCAGAGGTGAAAATGTTGACCCAGTCTGTTTTCACGCAGGAGCATCAGATGCTAAAATAATTGCACTGAATCTCCGAAGTAGACTTGCAATACAGCAGATGTAATGGTACCAACTAAATGAAGAGAAACTGAACAAACCATTATTATTCTCAGTCCTTTCCTGGCTAAATTATATCCTCCAAAAACATTGCCATATGCATTTAACCACTATACTACTGGATGAAAATAATTTTATACAGTGTTTTTCCCATACATCATTCAGCACAGTGTATTTCATTCACTTTTCAGAAGGAGAGATGAGTTTCAACAAAGTTAACTGCTATTTATGTGCTACATATTCCTCAAGGCATGGTCAACAGGGCTGTATATCACATATTGCTGGGCTTAGCACAACTTCAGTTTTACCTCTGGATTTCACTTTAAAATGTTCATTCTATTTCCAGTGTTGACAAAACAAGTATTTTCAAATTATTCTTCCTAAGTCTTTCTTGTAAGTAAAGCTGTTTACTGCAATTTTAGCAACACAGAGTTTATTAAATGATGCAAAAAGAAACAATACATGCATATGGATGGCATCAGGAGAATCTCGATAACAGCAGCAATGATTAGTTTTAAATGTTAGAGAGAAACATTTCCTAAACTGCTGTATACTCTTTTCAAATGCTAAACAGCTTCTAAATGCCAGATCTATTTGACCTGTTGAAGTACATAAATACGAAATGCTTTCTCTGAAAGGAAAAACAGGAATAAAGAATATGAAGATTATTGCAATTCTCTAGCATTATTTAGAAAACATTTTAGGAGAATGCATAGTTACTATAAGCATCACCATCATCATGTAAACATACCCACTCTGCTGCTGCCAGTTCCTTCATTTTCACCGTGAAAGCCACTGCAAACCTAGTTAAATGGACAAAAATAGTAGGGAACATCTGCTTAAAGTGTTTAAACATAAAACCAGGAAAGTACTTCAGAAAAAATCTTTGTAAGAACAAAGAGCATTATTATAGATGAAAAACAGAAAGCAGGCTTTCTATTTGTTTTACCAGAAAATACTGGTGAAACAAACGGTACCTCTTCAGGCTTTCCAACTTAGAGCTCTTGGGAGTTAAAGTGAGGATTTCTTAAAGTAAGAGAAAACCCATTTAATAGGAAAATACCCCCATTTATTTGATTAATATGTACAGCTGCAGTAGTGAGCTAGCATTTCCTGTTTCTACATCATTACAAGCTGCACTAGCCCTCTTCCTAATCAGGAAGCTAGGTAAGAAGGGATCTTAAGTCCAGTAACCTTCATACTACTATTGTTTGACAATACCCAGCCCCACTGTTTGCAACTCACTCCAACTGAGTTTAATTCAAATGAGTAGATGAACTTTTTTTTAAACCTTTCCTCAGTGTTCTCTCCTTCGAAGTAGTCAAAGCTGTCAATGAGTAACAAACATTTGAGAGACAAAACTGTTATTCTTCAGGAAAAATACCAGAATTAATTAAACTAAAAAAGAAGAAAGATGACCCAGTGATTTGACTTCAGCTCCAAAATCTCACGGGCCTGGGACACTCAGATCTAGCTCTGAATGTTATGCACCTGCAGTGCAGATGAAATTTGCAGTGCTGAGTTAAATGCCTGATATTCCTCTATAATAAATAGGGAAGAATTCAGTGTCCAGAAATTAGAGTTACCACAGTCATCATCTCAAGCAAAGAGACCGTTAACCTAGCCAGACACAATACTTATAGAAGGGCACTTTGTTCTCACCTTAAGACTCTTGTTTGATATGAGAAGGGCCTTTAAATGAAAGAACTGTAATAGTATACTAACACCATCTATGCCTCCTTTACAATAATATATAAATGATAATACCAAAATATGAACAAGCAAACCAAAGTATACTTGAATAACTTAATGACTAGAGTTGTCATCTGGCAGCAAAAAAGAGAATTTTAATTCCCAGCCTTACCTCCACTTTTTCTCTTATGGCTGTTTATAATGGCTCAGCTGGACTCCTACTTACGTGCCTTTATGAAATGGATGTAGCACACTGTCATTTCACATAATGGAAAAGTTACATCAGAGAACATTTAAAAGCAGCAGTTTTTATTTTTGGGTTTCTCAGCACAGAGAGACTTTCGCCACAAAAGTCAGATTTTTAAGCAATCTAGATAAACAAGTTATGCTTAATGGGAGCTTGATCTAATTCCAAAAAGTCACACAAGATACTTTTATGGAGTCAGAGTTAATAAAGAATCCCTGTTCAGAAGAGATCTTACGAACATGCTGGGCTTTAATGTAGCTTTTAAGTTGTGATGAAATATAAACACATACTTTGACTTTACTCAAATGGTATTTTAGTGTTAACTGGAACCACAAATGGGACCATTTTTGAAGACTATCAGTACTGTGGAATAGAAATCTTTGAATGCCTCCTTCATATGAGACACAAAATGCCTGCTAAGCGAAGTTTCTTTTTTTTTTTTTACTGCTTTTATAGATATTGAATATAAAAAAGAGGTTATCACATATTACACTTCTGATTTGGTGTTTGTTTTTCATAGACATAACGTTTCTGTCCTGAGCCGACCCTATGACTATGACCCTATGACACCTCAATGGTTGGAGATGAAGCACATTGCCGAGTCACAACCAGAACAGTGCTTTCCTATTGGAGACATTATAATTTGGGCACATGAAATCACATTCATTAGAAGTCACATAAATGCTGAATTATAACTCCTGCTTTTGTTTGTTGAAACAAACCTTATTCCAGACCTTATTCCCATACATTTGTTTCGTAGTATCTGCTTTATGGTATTACAATGAATTTCATATATACAACTTGACAGCTTTAAGGTTATTAAAGCCGTTGCAAATGCTTGTTTTGTCAAGTTGTACATGCTCCTCTTCCAGTTTTTGCAATTACACTTTCAATACACTGCATTAACAAGCAGAAAAAACTCTGTTGCTCCTAAGTCTACGAAACTGTTCCACAGAAAAAATTACCCTAGAGGAGTACAACTACCATTTAGAGAAATTTGATTAAAAATGAAACACTCATAAAGCTAGACAATGTTCAATACTTTGTTTTATGGAATGTGATGCTATATTGTACTGGACAAGTAATCTACAATTCATGATACTTTCTGCTTAGAACCCTGCAATCAATAAAGAAAAAAAAACAATAAAATCAATGTTTCATTTAGTAGCTATGCAATGAATAATACTAGTGATAATACTGGGTAAGAGATGCAATCAGAGTAAGTTCTAGAAAACTGAATTACTTTTCCTGTAGCAGAGAAAATATTATCAACTGAATAAAGATGCAGTAACATATTCTGAAACATCATGGGCAATCCCTGCTACTAAGCTATACTTCAAGTTCCTAACTTAATCATCATTAAAAAAACCCAAACATTCAGTAAAGCAGTTTTTGCACAGGTATATTAGTTATGCTTGTGATAGATCATATTTTAAACACAGAATTGGATCAAATAGGCACTCAGAGATTCTGGTTTTATATACTTTTCGTTTTGCACAGTGCTGAAATTTAGCTGACACATTAGATACCTTTTTTTCTCTTCCTTCAGACCTGTTTAAAGAATAACTTCTGATTATCTGATAACAAAAGCAAACAAGTATATAAACTTTGTCTTGAATGGGTCCTTAAGCTGTTTTCCAACTACAAGTCACACTAAGGCGCAAGAACATGCCCTAATGATTTCTCAATAAACATGATTAAGTGCTGTCTTTAAAATCTGTTTACCTACCACATTTTATAGGGCACAATAGACAGAAGACCATATCTATGCCAGTGTTAAGCTAGCTAATAACAGCTAGAACATATAGTGCTATTGGCAAAGGTAAAACTACGAGATACAAGCCTCCTGCAGATTCAGTATGCATTTCCTCATTGCTAACATGAACTGAAATCCATACTGCTGCATGTGTCCCACTGTAATTATCTGTCTTACCTAGAATGAACAGAGACAGTATCCTGATCAAGCGCTGTTCAGCAAAGTAGTTAAGCTCTCCTAAAGTAAATATGCAAGCAGTACCGCTGGATTTGATAAAATTTAAGCATCTGGAACATTTTATCTCACCTTGTACACTCAGGGACCCCTTCACTTATGTAGGGCTCAATTCTGGAGTGATGACTCTTCAGAATACTCAAGTCATCAGAGGCTCAGGCACAGTATAGTGCATGAAGCTGAGTGACCTGCTATAGCAACTTACTGCCACCAAGAAGACATCCTTTCTTGTATCCTTCCACAAGCTGACTTTTCTTATTAAAGGGGTAGAAAACTAACCCGGAAAAAAAAAAGAAGCCAATTTTACACCATTTAGTGAGTTAAACCTGCTCATAAAGCAGTCCAGTCCTGGCACAAGGAAGAGTGGATCACACAGCCACAAGCAAGAGAAAGGAAAAGGAGCGCAAGAGAGGTAGCAGTAGTGCCATCCCTGCCATCGGTGAGCTATTATGCTGGCTACACATAAAATGGTAACATTAGCCTCAATCTCAGTAAAACTTAAACTATTGCTTAATGTCATCCACTGGAATCTCTAGATCCGTAAAATGCTTTAGTTTCCAATAAGAAAAGGGCTTATTGGCCAAACATGGAAATGATCAAACACTGCTGAAGGCAAGCAAAAGGACACTTCTTTTCTGGAGATGTTGAAACAATGAGTAATGCTTTTTGGTTCTTAGTCACTTTCTCTGATTTCTTGAACTACATTAAATGACTACACTGACATGTTACTAGGAATTTTATGGACTTTAAAACACCCTGTAAATACTCCCTTGTCAAGTCACCTAAAAAATTGAAACTGAAATTGACATTGAAATTAAAGACATTTTTCAGCCTGTTTCTTTGTTCACGTACCTAGAGAAAGGATCACATTATGGGGGGGGGGGGGGGGGGGGGGGGGGAGGAGAACAAAATCTTTGCATGCGAGTCATCTGCATTTTTATCAAGAATTCTGTCAACAAGCTAAAAGCCACGCCTCCAAGAAAGAGGTCCGATTCTGTGATGAACAGGACAAACACCAGTTATTTTTAGTTGTTATCTCACTTAAGTGTGCTGAGCACCTTCGTCTGTACGTGAATGAAATGTTAATTCCAATACAGAATGTTTTATGTGTTTGAATATATGTAATATAAACCAGAATTTACTAAGAAGCAAAAGTTTAAAAAGAAAAAGAAACAACTTGGTGCAACATTTAGTTCTTCTGGCACAGGGCCTTTGCAAACAGAGTCCTACCTCATTTATGCTTCTATTACTACAAGAAGATTTAATGAGAATATTCAGACCTCCACCACTAATAAATATTTGCAATTTAAATAATCAGACCTCCACCACTAACTCACCATTATCCACCTCCACTACTAAAGATTCACTATTTAAATACCAAATATCAGCCACTTCATGGCCAGGATAGTTCTGCACAAATGAGAACTGTATGGATATTTTTTCAGATACTTAGATGTGCATTTCTTTACCTAAATCTCTGCAAATATAAATAGTCTAAAATAATTTTGGTAAGAAATCTAAACTTGATTTCATAAAATTGTATCCATTACAAACATGTCAAATAAGCCACAATCAAGCTGCTATAGTGTTGAGTTATACTAACCATCAAAGGCTGCCTTTATAACTTCTACCCATAAAGCAGATTATTCCACAGAGCGACATGCTACCAAATCCCAGGTTAAGTACTCCTGCTATTACTCTCGTTTCTTTCACCTGCCTTAGAATTTTATATCCTCATCACATGCATAGTTCTATTATTCCACAAAACAGAATTCAGTAGGCAAAGCACAGGATTAGTTAGTAAGAGTACATATTTCATTAGCTTTTAATGGGATTTGAGTCTCTGAAAATTCACAACCCAAGAGACCAAGTTTCAGCAGTATCTCCATCAACTCTTACACGGACAAATACGAGGAAATATAAAATGAACAGACTGCATTCAGACTATGTTTTATGAAGAAAAAGATCTGCCATTACAAAAATGCAATTTCTTGTCATAAACCCTCCACACATGGTTTTACCTGGCTTCTTCTAGCACTGCTCCCATTACCCGATGTTTCTCTTCACATTTGACATCTTCATTTACATCTGTCCCACCAAAGATGATTCCAAAAGGAATTTTGCTACCTGCAAAGCAATGACTATAATGTAAAGTTGACCAACATAGAAACATATAATCATACAATGGTTAGTGTTGGAAAGGACTTAAGATTATGTAGTGGCAATGATTAGACAGGAACATTAGAAGTATAAGAGTATACTGATAATACTGTATCACTTATGTAAGCAAAAGCCTTTGAAAAGGAAACGGAGAAACTTGAACTTTCATGACGTGGGCACTGAAAACACCCCATACAGTAATTACGCACTTCCATAGCATGTTATCTGCTGTGTCTCTATAAGACACTTCTTTGCCTTTTCCATGTTCAGTAAAACCAATCAGTTTCTTGGCAGCCCACCAAACAGCCTATATATTTCAAATGCCATTCACATTTAATAAGATAAAGTATTGCAAGGTTTGGTCACAGGTATTTAGCCTCAGCCACTCACTCACTGCCTCCTCAAGCATTCCAACACAGAGGGGCTTGGGTAACCATCCTGCAAAGCTGGTTACTGATTTTTTAAATATTGACTTCTGAAGCCAGTTTTACTGCTACAAAAAATATAGATGGATCTGCACCACTGGAAAAGGCCACCAAATTAAATAAGGCAGTATATGTGAACCTGCAACAAACCCACTGTTTTTTCTAATTCTATCCCAGAAGATGAATCTGTGCTTATAACTGGTTGTTCTAAGACCCTCTGTGATCATCCAAGTTAGGAAGTTGTTTTACAATGCCTTACAGTGCTCAGAAGAGTATGAGCAGCGGAAGTCATGTTGGCTATGAGACATTCTGCACAAGACCTTATCATCATTCAAATTTTAGAGTATCAACAAAACCATACATATCCTTGTGGTGTATGCTCTCTGGTAAAAGCCTAGTTTTGATATATGGCATCAGAATAAATTCGTATTTGTGAAAGGGTAAAGCCACCAGAACAGGTAAGTGTAGCACTTCTATGCTAACAGTTGCTAGACTTACATGGAAATGGTCAAAGATCACTTAAGAGGAAAACAGAAAAGCCAATAGTAGTGCAAGATACTCCTTTCTAATAGTATTTCTTTTCAAGTCAAGTAATTTTTAGTAACTGACAAGGCACCAGTAATGTTCTCCCCTTAAACTAATCAAGATAGCAGACAATAATGTTTACTGTTGATTGTTGCAGCACTGAAACCAATTAAGCGGTCAGTTTTACACCACATTAAGCTAACAAATAACAGCCTCCTGGTGGCTAATTACTACATGCAGAACATTGTTTTAAATTCCAAACAGGACTGCAGTCTTGCAAAGGAAGCAGTCTCCAGTAAGGCAGCCTACAAAACCTGCCATTAAGATGACCAGTTTTGTGGATTTTGCAGACCTCTTAGTTTTTACAGATGAAGCCAAGGTTTCCTTCTGATTGGGAACAAGAACAGGCAGTTAGGTCATACTGCCACTACAAACTGTGTATCAAGAAAGGCACAAAATGTGCTTTGTTTTTTCACTTTTGCTATCGGATGGAAGGGGAGAGGGATGAGGGACTCCGTAGACAACACTATCCTCAGCAGTGGACCACCAACCAGGCATGAGGTGTTGCTGTGTTGGTGCAGGTTCTTCCTTTTAGGAGATAACATAAATGACCTTGAATGTTCATGACTGTGGAAACTATCAGTGACACTTTCTGTAAATATCCAGTGTCTTAAGGGGTTGGAGAGAAATGACAGGTTAAATTCAATGAGCTCTTATAATTCATGATTAAAATTAATGGTTAAAAATCAAGCATATAAAGAAATCTTAAAGCAAATGAGGAACATAATAAATATGTTGATAAAAATAGAAAAGGTACTCTATGTTTTCCATTTATATTTGAAAATTAAGTGAGCTTTAAGATGAGGATTTACTAGCATTGCTAATTGCTTCATTACTAAATGAAAGAAACAAAAAGAATGAAAGACTAATTGCCATTCTGGCTACTTAGAAGACTTTCTTCGGCATTTTTAGATATTATACTCTAAGTATATAGAGCTTTTAGGTTTAATTTAAGGTTTGCAGCAAAGCACCACAGCATTAGTCTTCAAGAGGCTGACTTTCTGCAATAATTTGTCTAATAAATAAAACAAGTAAATAACTACTGTCATCCATTACATGTGTTGATCATACATCCCCAATCATGTAAACAAAGTTTCCAGAATAAGGCCCAAAAGATTGGTAGTATGGTAGTAATGGCAGTATGGTTCTAATCACTGGATTTCTTTATGCTAATTCATCATATAGAGGGTATGGAAGAACACATATTCCATGAAACAGGAATGTCCTTCAAATCACTTTTTCCCTCCAAGCAGTCTACAATAACTTTTATTAGGATCATCCCAGCTATCATATTATTTACTGCCTTGCTTTTCAGATTTCTTTTATTTTTCTTTCAATTATTGCAAATGCTTTTTGGAACAGTGTGACTGTGATTTATTTAAATTACTGAGCTTTTGTAAATCATTCAAGTATCAAGCTCTGCAGGTTACTTGCAATTTTGAAAAGCTAACAGCAACAGCACTTGGGCAATGCTATGCATGTCAAAACTACAACACAGTTTTAGAGTAAACATTTTAAATCCAACCTTCTTTTTTATTCCTTAGCAAAAAAAGAGATAGTCCTCAGACCTTCCATAAGCATCTTCCAAAAGAATTCTTGATCTTGTCACAAAACCAATCATCTCTATATTCCAACAAGAGAAATCTTAATACATACGTTAGCAGAGATCATCTTGGAGAATTACTTACTTTATTTTTATTCTAGGGTCCCTACCAGAATCAGAGCTTCATTGTAACACAAGATACACAAGCATGCCAGATGTAATAATTCAGGCTTTCTAAAAACCCACCAGAACAAATTGCAGGGGGACTTCTTAAGTCTGAAAACCAGCACAAAAGAACTTATACTGAGATCTGATGAAAGTATCAAATTACTTGTCTTTGTCCAAGTGAATAGATTTGTACAACACAGAAATGGATCCACACCTGCAATTTCAGAAGGTGACTGCCTGTAATTTTGAAAGTCAGGGCTTCTAGTGTATCATTAATGTCAGGCTAAATTTTGTGCTATGTGGCTAGATACAACAGAAAATTTTATTAGTTTTCTGGTAATACCCTGTCTCCTATAGTTTAGCTGGCATGAACAACATCTTAAAGTTATTTAATGTCCAAAAAACCCTGACTCTTTTTTGAGCAGAAAAATCAAATTAGCCTCTATTCTTTCTATTTGACCTCAGCTATACTTAGCCAAGGCATTATCCTCTGAAGGAACACATTTGCTGAAAATATCTTAATGTTAATATAATTCTCTTATCTTAATGTAGTTAAAGTACTTAATCATAAAATGCATTATGTGCTTTAAAAGTACATTTATTTAGTTCTCTCCTCCCTGGATTAGATCTCCCACAGAGAAAGATTTTCAGCATTTCTGAACATTTGTTTAAATGGATAAACAGAATAACTACAGTATGTGTGGGTTTATACATTTATAACTATTCATTTTCTTCTCTTTCAGTACCTTCTTAAGAGGTATTTTTATTGCAAAATAGAAAGAGGATTACCTTGCAGAAGTCTGCCTCCTTTATAAAGATGAATGGCCAGGGCTCCATCAAACTTGTCTGTGGAGATTAGGTTTGCTATTTCAGTTTGACTTTCATACATGAAAGCATCTTTAAGAACACAGATGTGACCTGCAGCATGTAGATGATTCCTTCATTATCAGAACAAATACAAAAAGAACAAAAAAAATACACTATTAACATTGTAGTCATGCTAATACATAAAATAAGCCTAATAAAAATGTTTTTCCTTAATAATTTTGGTGATATTCACATTTATGCTCATTTTGTTCAAGCAACCATGGAGCTATTCACAAGGTTGTGGTTTTTTTACTGGAAAACATTTATTACCTTCAGCACTGTGAAGCCACAGGCACACTTCCAAGCAACAAAACCTGCATCCATTTTAAAGCCCAAGCCTACAGCATCACCTCTGGAAATCAGCAGAAATGAAGCACAATCAGGATCTTTCCTGATTGAGCTTCTGCTTAATATGCTGAAAAGACTCCTTTTGAATTGACTGTGTTAGATCTTTATCTTAGAGTTTCTTCGATTCTTATTTTGTAGAAAGGCCACTGAGTGAAAACAGCACAAATACATCCAGCTGATCAATGCTACCAAAAACACAGAATATGCAAATAAATGAATACCTAAATAAAACTGGAGAGTTAAAATTGTATCCCCTTTTTGTTTGATTGTGGCTTTAATTGCTTCTTGTCTTAGTTTACACATTTGTAAAAAAGGCACAGGATAATTGAAGTATAAGAAAAAAAAACCATAAAAGTTAATTACACATTTTCACAGTCTTTTTTAAACATCTCAATTTCTAACAAAGAGAAAACATAAAACAAAACAAAACGAACACCCAAACCAACACCACAACACCCCCACACCTCCTTAGCTTACCTATTCATCCTTATGGTTCCTAATATTAAAACATTGATTGAAAGACTGCCAAAGTCAAGAAACTGATTGACTACAGGGAGCTTTACTTTAGGCATTTCGGTGAGCTTTGTTTTAGCCTTTTCTTTTATACTCAGGCTCACAATTCTTCCCACGGAAACCAGAGTCATTTATCAATGTTTCCATTGATCAAACCCACGTTTCTGAGAAAATCCATATTTTGATAAAAACTAGCACATTGTATCTGCTGACATGTACTGTTTACATTTTCAGTATTATAAAAAGACCACAAGAATGCTTTCTGCTTATCACATATTGTTCCAGTTGATTTATTTCTCATAGCGTATTAATTGCTCTGGCATTAAAATCCTAACTCAATGGCTTCTTGGATAATGTCGCTGTTTCGTTTCTTGATCATTTCATATCCTCCCAAGGAATGTAATTTTCTGTCCTGAAGAAGTTAGTCATTACTGCAGAAATTGGTGCTAAAAATGTTGTAAAATGTCTAGAGGCCTTGGAAGGAATGTATTAGCACTATATCAGACAGAGCTCCATTGGCACAACATATGGTGCTGTATTTCTTCCTTATTCTAAAAAGAAACTCATTTTACTTTTAACTTCACCATTTGAAACAAGACCAATAAACTGCAATAAGTACTAGTAAATAATAAAGTACAGCCAGATTGTAAGCTCCTTATTTACACTGTTGAGCAATTACTTACATCAGCTGTCCCATGAACTTGTTCCAAGTACCTGCTTGCTTTTTGGAAGAGGCTCTCAATTTATAACTAAATAATGATGCCCAAATCTCACAGCTGTGGAAAGAAACTCTCTTGGGCAAATAGTTGGGATGCTCATGCCTGTATTCCATAATTTCACAGGTGCTCATTAAGTAGTCTGAAAGATTCCTTTCCCCATCAGTATTGCAATTACCATAAATCACTATCATGTACAAGCAATATGTTTGCATATTACAATTAATTTGAAAATAACTCTCTCAGGACATCGGGAATCAAGAAACTCAGTTAGGAATGTTGATCTAAAGCATCTTTTTTAATACACTAGGAAGGAATACTACTTCTTTCCTCCACAGTCTCCACAGCTCCAAATCTCACAGCTGAATGGCAGCTGTTTCTGCAGTAAATAGAAGGGGACTCCCTCAAGTATTCCAAGGCTCACAAATTGTGTTTTACCTCTATTATTTCAACTTTTTTTTTCTATGCATAATGACTCAAGAGCATGTAAAAAATTTGCATATAGCTTAACAAGGAAAAAAAAATCAAATTATTCCCAGAAACATTCAAATTCCCAGATGTAAAGAGGCTTTAATCTCATAAACATACTATTGAGCTCAACATGATTAGTCACAGGCTTCGGATTATGCATATATGGAAATATATGTGCATGGAAGCAGAGATATTGGGCAGTATTTAAATACTGAAATTTGCAGTGATATTTTTGTATTTGCTAAATGACTTTTCATCTTTATAATAAAAAAAGCAGATTTTCACACATATGCTGTTATCAAGAAACATGATAAGAGGGTGCTGCAAAGTTACTGCAGACTTTTTTTGAAGGCTGATCTGTCTGCAAAGTCACAGATGTCCCTGAATCAAGCCAAGACATAAGAGATACATTACCCATCCTTTCTCCTCCTGGCAACTGTGTATTCACATTATTTTGCCATTTCATAAACAAATACTTTCTGAACGAAAAATAAAAATGAACATTCACAGTCTCCTGCTGTCTGTGAATCTAAGATAACACTGAGAATGCTAAATCTCATGGCCACATTTTATCTCTGTCACAGTTTTTGTACATGGTAGATAAATTTCCAAGTGTCTTACCAACCACTGATTATTGCTTGATACAGAATTTGCCTTGCTCTGCCTTATCTTTCTACTGAAACTCTCATGGAAGCCAATAGCACTGCTTAGGGATATTAACGTTTCTAAAATGAAGTTCCAGATTTTGGGTGTTATACTAGGAAGTAACCAAACAGGGAAAATTTCAGTCATTCAGTAAGTTTGAAAGGTCATTTCTTAGAGTACATTATATTAGTCACTGCTTACACTGCGATACATACACATATTTGCACAATGAACAAAATATTTCCCACCTCCAGGGATTTTAATTTTCATGGAATCAATATATTTTGTTTTATTTTTTAAACTCTTGGAAACCACGAGGCTTGTCAGTGAAACTTCTGTCTGCTCTGGATCTATACCATCTGCAGAGAGATATTGCCAAAAGGTACAACCATTTTCTGACATGTTTTCACTTCATTAAAGATTTTTATAGAAAAACATTTTTCTCTAACACGACTATGAAACACCACATGATGTTTTATAACCAAACTTCAACCTGAATCTGCAGTTCACAGGTCTTCATATACAGAAACAGTTTTATAGTTCCAAACATAGCATGGCCAAAGCTAAGACACAAATGAGCAAGAAGTATGTTTACTTCTAAAGTACTGTAGTTTTGAAACTTGCTTCATTTTCTGTTATGTGTTCCTCTCAAAAACATTTATGTTCTAATTTTCAACCAGTATTTCAATGGAATTACTTGCAGACAAAGAATGTTTGATTTCCAAAAAGTTCCTGGTAGGCAGATACACTGACACATCTTGAATGGCAGAGAATAGGCTTAATCCAAAAATATTTAATTATCTCTTTCCCCTAGGCTGCCTATTCTGTAAAGCAGCTATGCATCAACTACTGTTAATCTATAGAGCCCAATTCAAAACTTACTAAGTGAGCAGAGTCACTTCCACTGCCTTTCTGAAACTCAGCCATAGCTGAATACTTACAATTCCCACTGAAGTTGATCAAATTGCAAGAAAACCTTGAAACCCTGCTCAATCTTCCCTGTTTGTATTGCAAATTCTTTTTTACTTGTTAAAGCAAAGCATTCTTCATTTTATTTCTCTCTCAAATTTCTCCCTTAAACAACACAGAGAAATTGTGTTGGCATGAATGAAGTATGAATAAAATCCACCATGAATAAGAACAGAAATTAAAATACAAGTGAAAATGGGAAGAGAATCCTTCTGAAGTCAGTAACTGCCCTTTGGAAGGACTAAATAACTCTGCAAAGTTTATTCCTGCCTTATAAATAGGTCTAGCCATGTAAAACATTTTGGGATGCAACATACATCAAGTGCAGGCCACGTAAATGAGTGCATCTCAGTTCCAAAGGTGGAGGATGAATGCCTGCCTTGCAGCTGCCTGCTCTGGGAATGGCCATGCAAACAACAGCAGGGTTAAACTTGCACAGCACCTATGCAAACTGACGTAAGTAGATGAAACACCTCTTGTGATCTACCACGAAGAGAGGAGGATCTCCTGCTGTACAAGCACTCTTCTGTATGATTTTAATGGTGGCAGATAGGGTAAGACTAAACAGAAGAAAAGCTGCTGCTCAGAATTACTCCAATAAATGTCTAAGGAGAAAAATAATTGCAAAGAGCATTACTGAATTTGCGGGTTTAATTCTTTTGCAGTTGATTACCTGGAGATTTACCGAATGGCTCTCTCAGCTCTCCCATTTCAAATGTGAACTGAAACCATCTTTCTCTCTCCAAAAAATATTTAATTATTGACAAAGTGCTTAATCTAAATCTTTCTCATTAACCAATTAATTCAAGATTTCTATTCCTCCTTACTAGCAAATAATAGAAGATGAACAGAACATTTCAAGGGGCAGAGAAGATTCATTTACTTTCTTTCCTAACACCTTCTTTGATCTTATTTCTAAGGCTGAAGAATGACAGCCTAACCAAAGACTTTTGCTTAGTGTTTTATCCTCTACTCATTGCTCATAGTTTTTAAGGTGATTAAAGATTATGCACACCAACACAGGAATAAAGCCCACAGTGCATTCATTATATCACTTGTTTTAGCAAGCTGATTTCTAGCCAAATTAGATTCTGGTCAGTTTTGTCACCAGTTAATTTGAACTCAGGAAATTAGTATTTTCTTTATGAAAAGATGAAGCAGTTATAGGAACAGCTATAATATCATAAACATGGTACACCCAGTGATATTAAACCACAAATTTATGCTGGCAAATGCCCAACCTGAAGACACCTTCATTGTTTCATTTATACTTAACCAAAGCTAAAAAAAAAGGTGAACAAACACATTCATAAGCATGTACTCGGATACAACTGAAGCCCAATATTAACTGAAATATGTATTTTCAATGCACTATCACATATGCTACAAAGGTTGCCACATAAACCTTAGGCAAGGCAGATTAGTGTAGGAAGTGACATTCCCCAGGCCTTTGGCCTTATACAGAATCTTATGTAAATTTATTTATTATTTTTAAATGGCATAAAGTCATAAGAAAACCAGTATTAGGATGGAAGTATCTGAGTTGGATAGTTTTAGTGATAGCTGTGACTTGACTAGCCTCTTTACTTGCTTGCCTTATCAGACTTTTTTCTTTTTCCTGAAGAGGCACATTTATATTATTATGACAAACAGTATTTATGGTAGGTGATAAAACAGCAACTGAACATGACAAATTACTGACTTTCAAACACTATTTCTGGTAGAATCCTTTATCCACCTTTATTGTGAACATGAATTAAACTGACTTTTCACTCGTTTTCTTTCTGTTTGAAGGTGTACGTGAAAGCAGCATCCACTTTCATACCCAGTATGCCTATAAAGCAAGAGGATGCTACAGCAAGTTGATGCACTCTACACAGATCACTGCAGATGTGTTCACATAGCTGCAAATGATTGCATTAACATGATAATATGTTAAACCATCTGCCAACTGAGCTGTTGCATCTCACCAAATCTTTCATACTAAAACACATTATCTCAGGCCACAATGCAGGAGTCACAGCTGGAGAAGGTTAACCAAAAGTGCTCATTACTATGATTCACATCAGGGCACCTTGCTAAACCACTATGTCTTGATAGAGTATGCTTACATGATCACAATCCACTTCAGTGTAATTGAAAAACAATTTGAAATACGTGGACATTTGTTTTCTGTGTTACTCAGGCTTAGCTTAACTAGAAATAATGCAAAAGCTACTTTCCCCTAGATGATCTCTGAACGGCTCCACAAGTCTAAATGTTTGTCTGACTTTCCACAAAGTTCAAGTGGGAGATGAAGTTAAGTGAATATTTAATCTGTAAAGGTATAAGAAATAACCTTACGGAGGAAGAACGAGGATTGATGTCCCCAAGAATAACTACTTTTGTATTATCCAGTGAGAGCAAAAAGTAAGAGATGAAAGGAAATGCAGAATACCACACAAACCACGCCACAGAACTCTGTGCTGGTATGCACAAGTATAAAAATGTGTTATAAACACGACATACTTGTTTTATCTCAACATCTTATTAATACTTATTGTTCATTAATACTTATTTGCTAACTGTAAAATTCAGAAAACTTCAGGTTTATCGGGTCTTTATGCTCTGTTTGCTTTAAACCTTCAACACCTGTGTGACCGACATGAAGCAGCAGATATGTTCTACCATTAGCTTATACAAAGCTTTGCACAAATCCAAGTCTGAACTTGGTATGACACAGCTAGTGCAAAAACTGAGTGTCACAGGACTATTTTGAATGCACAACATTAAAAACATGACACTATGCAGACTGAGGTCAGGGAAAACTTTACTACAAGAAGGCTACCCTAGAAGATGCATCCTAAGAGAAATAACTAAACTGTGGATGACTCAAACAGGTAAAAAGCAACCAAGTCCTTATTTCATTACTCAGAAGGCAAAAACCATTCTGAAACATTTTAATTTTCATTGTATTTCTTTTAAACACCACTCCCATGCACAGCAAAGCCCTTGGAAATGCTGTCAGCCACATCCCTTTCCCAGGTGTCATAGAAAAAGTTAAACAGGGACATTAAGCATATTTATGCAGTTCTGTTAGTCCAGACTATTCCAAAGCACTACAGATTCGTGTCCATAATCCCCAATGGAGCCGCATGTGGAATCCCCACAGCAAGGGCACTGACTGGAGTAGCTCTTGTACAACTACTGCTGCGGGATGGCTTCGGTTCAGACCCTCATCACAGCTCCTACAGCCTCCTGTTCTTCGCATTGACTTCTCATCTCATCCTGGGTATTCCCCAAAGCGGGCACCTCTTGGAAAAACCCGCTGCTCCACTAACACCGACTCTACAGGGGCTCTATAGGGCGGCCAGTGAGGGGAACTGCTCCTGGATTGTGAGCCTGGGTCACCCTGCAAATGCAACCGGCTCCTGTGCCCAAAACCTGCCCTGAGCAGAATCAACTTCGGTTTGGTTCTGGGGTATTTTCTGTGGGGCAACCCCTCAGCTCCCCCTCTCCCCTACCCCCCAGTAACGGGGCAAAGGGGGACACCTTGCCCTGGCTGAGCCGCCGCAAAGACTCACCTGGGGCCGCCCCCGACACCCCTCCAGCCTGCAGGCCCCGGCCGGCGTTATTGGAGGGGCCCTGCTTCAGCGCCCGGCGGCGGCCCTCTCACAGACCCCCGGCGGCCATCCCCACAGCTGAGGCGAGAGAGACGCGGCCTCCGTGCGCCAGCGGGGGCAGCCAATGGCGGACGCGTGACCCCCGCTACCCGCGGACCCCAGCCCCAGCCCGGAGCCCCCTCTGCCCGCCAGGGAGGGCTGCGGCAGCTTCAGCGTGCGGGGGAACCACCCCCATGCCTGCCCGCCGGCTCGCTGAGGAGCGGGCAGCGCAGGCGGGAGCAGTGGCGGGGATTCCAAGGGTAAGAGCAGGTAGCGGGATCCCCGATCCCATCGCATCGCGGGCGGGGGACGGACGACACTTACTGTATCCGGGCCGCGGTGGTCGCGTTGCCGGTCCGCGCTCGGAGGCACGCCAGCAAGAGCAGCCTCATAGCGGCCCCTCCTGTCCGCGCGGCGGGAGCCACCTCAGTGATGGGCAGCGCCGCCGCCGCCCCCTCACCTGCCGGCGGCCCGGACGCGGCCCCGCAGCCTCCCGGAAACGCGGCGCGGGGCCGGGGTGGCACCTGCTGCAGCCCCCGGACCGCCCTGAGGGTGGCGGGACCCCTCTGGGGAGGGGATGGCCTTGTCCTGACCGGTCCTGTGCCAGCCCCTCA